GTTTGAAATTTATTCAAGATTATCCAACACACAAAATGAAAACTTTTTTAATTCATCAGCTTATGCACAATGGGCTTTACTGCAAGTTAGTGCTTCAATTTTCCAGAAAATCTTGAATAAGTTATGCTGAAACATACAAACATGTTTCTGAAAATTAGGGGGAAAATCAGGAAAAGAGTTTTTGTAAAATCAAATGTAATCTATGGAATTTTCATAATACATTGTTGAAAAAATATTGAAATTTCAGAGCATTGGGCATTCATCACTAAAAGAGAAGTGAACATTTCTCAAACCCAAAAAATTACAATGGTCTGAAAGTGAAATTACAAAATTTTTGCTTCCCAATTTTTCAAGATTATCTAATGTACAAAATCTAAAATTTTATATTCAGTTTAGGCATCATGAGGTTTCTCAAATTTTAGTGTTCCAGCCAAAAATGATTGCCAAAAACATCTGTATAAGTGGTTGTGTGGAACCATTGTGCAAACCCCATTTTTCTTAACCCTTCCCATGCCCCATGTGTTTAATCATTGGAGTACCCCTTCTAATAATCAAAATTGTCCTTAATTATCACCAATTCCTCATAAGTCATTTTCTGATGGGCAACAATGTGATAAGGGAATTGTGTCCAAATATGTAAGTGTGAAATTTGCATTCACAAATCATATTTGAATCATGCATAGTATGATGCAATTTTTCAAATGTGCCATGTTGTGTGATTAATGGCAGAAGTTTTTGGACAAAATGAACTATGATACTAAATGAAACTGGCTAAGAGGAAGAAGTAACAGCATTAAAATGTTTATTAGTGCAAGGGATGGCCAGAAAACCTTCCCAGCAATAAATGGTTGTTGGGCAGGTTGATGGTCATTAGGAGAATCATATTCTTGAGGTTTTCAGTGGTTGTTAGGCAGTGCAGTCATTAGGCAAGGCACCACTGTAATTAAACCACAGCATTTGCACCAGTCACAATTTCTGGAACCAAATTATTTTTTGCTTCCACTTTTTATTGAATGGGTCTCAATTCTGATGAAAGACCAGTGGGGAAAGGGAAGAGGGGACATTTTATCAGTGTATTAGTTCTTATCCTGAAAAAGTTTCTGAAATTTCCAAATTTTCAAAGTTTGGCTTAAGAGGTCTTCTGGGCATAAAATCAAAAAGCATGAGAGCTGCACTCATAGCAATTTTTTTTCATCTGCCAAAAATTTTTAAAATGATGCTCAAGTGTGGATGGGTATCCTATTTTTAAGATAAATTGATTTTTTGGAAATTTTTTTGTGTCTTTGTAAAATTCCGAACATGATGCCCAGGTGTGGCTGGGCACCCCCAGCTTGTTAATTAAAGAATGTCGAATGCTGAGCATGTAAATATACATTCTCCCTACGACGAAATTCATTGGGCCAGAAAGAAAGAAATGGAGAGAATTTTGTTGGGTCCTTTCTGCGAAATTCTTTCAATTTCCAGTTTCTATTCTAAATACTGTATACTTTTGACTTCCTTTTCATGATTATATTATAAGCGCGGTACTTTTTTGATATCACTTTAGCTTCAAAATATCTAAATTTGAAAAAATTTGAGTAAATTTCGAATTGCTGGAATCGAATGAATAATTATGTCATTCCATGAATACTGATCTCGATAAAGAATTTCGAATGATGGACATGTATGTATACAGTGGACTCCCTCTACGACGAAATTCTCGGGACCAGAAAAAAAAACTCATTGAGAGAATTTCGTTGTAAAGAACTCCCATGTAATTCGTAGATAATCTAATGGGATCAGCAGCAAAAAAAAAAAAGAATCGCTACACTGTACAGAGAAAATCGTTGTCTCAGTGAAGGAGAGTAACCTGTTTACATACTTCATACAGTATTTGAAAAAATTTTTTTTTTTTTTTACTCGAGATGAAATTCTTCTTTTCCTCACCAGGCCCATTTTTCGCCGTGAATCCAACCACCGGCGCCATCGTCACGTCCCGTCCGTTGGACCGCGAGACCCGCACGGGCTTCCTTCTCACCGTCACGGCGAGTGACAGCGGGACGCCGTCATTGTCGGACGCCACGGACGTCGAGATCCTCGTCGCCGACGTCAACGACAACGCACCGAAATTCCTGCAAGCTGCTGCGTACTCGGCAGAGGTGTCTGAATCGGCAGAACCCGGGAAAAGCGTGGTTCGCGTGAGTGCAGTGGACGTGGACGAGGAGTTGAATGGACAAGTGGTTTACGAGCTGAGGCCGTTGGAAGGAGAGGACGTTTCCGACGGCGTGGACGCTTTTGACATTGATCCCGTGTCGGGTGTGGTGAGGACAGCCAAGACGTTGGACCGGGAAAGCGTCGCTACTTACAGGTGAGAAAATTAGTTACAGTTAAACCCCCATTATTCCCGAATCTCCTTAGGTCAAATAACCTCTTTAAGTAAATATTTTTCTAGTCCCCGTCTGAATTCCCTTGGAAAAAAATGCATCAAAAACCTCTCCAACTCGAAGGCTTTACCTTTCAAACCTCTGTAAATCGAACTTTCTGGCTTTTTGGCTATTATTTTCTTGACACACGAACGAGAAAAGCAATAAAAAGTAACTTGATGTGTTTTGAAAGGAATTTATAAGACTAATTGTGCAAACGAACCCTTGTGTCCAACTTCCGCATCCTGCCAATCATTTAAGGGCCAGAATATCACAAAAATACCAAAAATATTTTTTTGGAATATGATGTCGCCCCCGTCCCCGAAATTTCTGAATTTACTGGACGGAGATGAAAGTTACGCCCTCTTCCCTCAAATTTTGGGCATACTTTTCAAATATACAGTATTTCGATTCGAGCGACGAGATTCAAATTAAGTTTCATCGTTGATCAAATTTTGTCGGTTTTCTTATTCAATTTTTCAGATTCTACGCCGTTGCTGTTGATCGTGGGTCTCCGCCGATGTCGTCCAGTGCCTCAGTGGTGGTCAAAATTTTGGATGAGAACGATTCTCCACCGGTGAGATTTTCTTTCAAATTTATTTCTTCCTCATTCACGACGTTTTTTCAGGATTGGAAAATTGTCGAAATAACCGAAATCGAATGAGGTTCTCGGGTGTTGAATGTCCTTGCGTAGTTGAATTTTTCGAACTTTTCTACCTGTTCTGAAAATTGGTCAGTTAATATGATCAGATTATTGGGAATGATTCACCGAATCCTGCCTCCAGCATGATTTTCAATCGGTATATGCCAGATTGAACGAATTTTAACGTTTCTATGCATTTTGTGTAATTTAAAAGCAGGGCAAAAATGGTGAATTGATGCATTTCCAATGTGAACTAGGATTGTCTTTTCAAATTTGTTAGAAATCCATTTTTTCGCTATTTGTGGGCGTTGTATTTCAAATTCCACAATAATCAGCGTATAAAAGCTGATGAAATTGAATTTAGATCACCAACTTTCAGATATCCAGATTTTGTTTTTTATTTGATTCCTAATTAGAATTCACCATTTCTTTCTCTTTCGGCTACTTCTATTGAAGGTAGGGATTAAAAGTTTCGATTGCCTTCGTTGCCGTGATTCTGTACTGTATGATGAATGAGGATGCGAAAGAAAAGCGAATCACAAAAAAAATAAATGCACGCAACTTAAGAGCTTTATTTAAAGCTTTTTGTCTTAGTTTCAGAAATACTGTACATCACTGTATGAAGAGCGTCCTAAAATTTGTTGGGCCACCCTGTGAAGTCAGGTGTAAATAGTCGAGTTGCTGCCGACATTTTATGTTTTTCTTACTGCAGTGTTCCTGGTTTCAAAATTTGGTGGGTGAAAAATCTGGATGCACATAATCCGAAAGGCACATTAAACTTTGAAGTCTTTTTTCAATTTGATGAACCAAACTTTTTATTTTAAATCTGGGATACCTTATGAAAAGTGTGAAAATGTTGATTTCCCTCTAAAATCAGACAGTACAGCATTCCGAATTGAAAATGATCCGTCGTTCGGACGCGTTTGAAGCGTTTTCTTATCTGTGCCGACAGAAGCTCCGGTTACGTTTCGAAACAGATGACAGAACTTTCGTTTTGCGTAAAAAAAAAAAAAAAAATACTGGCCGCCTTTTGTCTCCGTGGTTTTTTATCTGTTGCTCCTCGATAACTGCGAAGATTGATGAGCTATAGTTCGAGAAATGCTGACACAATGAGAGCGATCAGACCAGACTGTCGAAGCCACTGGTAAAAGCTGGTCCCATTTCTCGGTGGCTCCGTTTCGCAAGATTCGCCCCTGGGTAATCCGGCATGATTTGTTCCCCCTTGCATGTGCTCTGAATAAAATTCTTTCGAGCTATGAACTCCGCAGAATGGGTTGCATCTGTGATGCCTTTTAAACCATGGTAGACCATGGTAGAAATTGGAATCCTGGGGACAATAATGGATAAATTGACTTTTGTTTTAAATAGTTAACACTGTACCGTTTTCAATTGAGAACCACATGTCCGGGACGGGGACGCACCTTCGATTTTCTCGAATTTAACTTCGCGTAAAAACTTAGCACAGTGGAAGACCCGCACCCCTTGGTTTTAGTGTCTGGAAATTTGCAAGATTTTGAAAAGACGCTTCAGAATTAATTTTGTGACATGAATCGGACCCATATTTTCAATTTTTTTTCATTGAGAATTTATTTCTCAACATTTTCTATTAGTCAACGTAGGACGCGTTTTGAAATTGAATTTTTCAACTTTCATACCCGCTTATTATGCGCACCCTCGTTTTCCCTCCTAATTTCTAAAAAAAAAAACTGCGCATGGTAATCGTGTAAAATACGGTGTAATCAGAGTTTTGTAAAAATATTATCAGTAAAATTCATTGATGAGAGCAAATTAATTGCGTTTAATTAAAATTGATTCCGAAGCAAATACTTTAATTTGTTTTTTTGTATCATCGAGCATCTTGTCAAGTTGTCTCCTACTCTCCTCAACGTTTTACCGAATTTTGCACACTTGAAAGTAGTGCTGAAATGTTACGTATTCGTAATTGGTAAGCAGATTTACTGAAAAATTTGAAAGGAAGAGGAAATGAGACTTTTGACCTCGTACATTATCGTATTTACTCCAATGAAGGTCACATTCCCCTTCGAAAGCTGTGCTAAAATGTATTCTGTACGTCGGGTAAACTGTATATGCAGAAGCAGCGCTGAATATACGAGTGATGCCTATATACAGTACAGTTTCTGAGACTATGTCTCGGGTTTGCGCGACGTTTGTTTTTAAAGATGTATCAACTAATTTTTGAATTTTGAAAACGGCGAAACGCAGTTGGTTGAATTGGCGACCTGCGGACTGCTGGTTAGCTGCTAGTTAATTTCTCTGTGAGAACCTGTTGGTGAGAATTTCTCAGGAATAATATGATTCCTTTTTTTATTCGTGCTTGGGCCTCATTTCTTCCGCAAAATATACTAATTACTGCACATTCCGTATTTTTTCTGAGAAGTAACAGTACTGTACATGAAATATCCTTCAAAAAATGCGCTCAAGAATGTGTAAAAAATTTCAAGTTGATTGGGAAATCAGAATTACAGTATATTTTTTTTAATGAACTTGAATTATGCACTGCTTTTATAAGAAGATAAATTCCTACCCGTCAAGATGAACTTGGATGGAAGTCTACTACAGAAATTCCACTTTTGCCAAAATTAATGCTATTTTTGCCCTACTCGGTCCCCTGCTGCAATTAAAATGTCTAAAAAAATGAATGGTATCCCTAAACGTATCTTCGTTCACACTGAAAATAATTGTTTGTCATTGTCTCTTTTATTACCCCAGGTTTTCGAGTCTGAGCGAGTGGAGCTTCGTATCAAGGAGAACTCGAGGATCGGCTCAGCCGTCGGAACAGTCGTGGCCCGAGACCCAGACATTGGCGAAAACGGCCGGGTTCAGTATTCGATCGTCGGTGGGCCCGACGCCGACCTGTTCTCTCTCGACATCGAAACCCGTGGCGGTCTCGGCAGCAGCGACTCGACACCCAGTGACGACATCAGTGCGTATGACGCCCCCACCAAGGAACCATTCACTGTTGCCGTGTTGCGAACCCGGATTGACCTGGACTACGAGTCCAAAAAGAAGGAGTACAATGTGATTATTCGGGCCTCGTCGCCGCCGTTGCGAAATGACGTGGCCGTCCGCATTCTCGTTGAAGACGTGAATGACAATGCGCCGAAATTGGCGGATTTCCGGGTCATGTTCAACAACTATGACGACTATTTCCCGACTGGGCCGATCGGCCGAGTGCCTGCTTCTGATGCCGACGTGACCGACATTGTGAGTAAAACGGCTATAATATTTCGGAATTTGGGACCCGGAAATGAAACATTTGATATACTGGAGAAACCTCAAAAAACGAGGTTCGTTCTGAACAATAATTCCTTATAACGAGATTCGTTGCACAGTGGGACCCTCGGTTAACAAAATTAATTGGTTCGAGACACAGGTTTGTTCACCAAAAAGTTTGTTAGCTGATAGTTTGTTTACCAAGTTTGATTTTCCTATAGACTTCATTGGGAAAGAATTCAATCCATTCCATGAACCCAAAAGGTAATTGAACAGTGAATATGAAAAAATTTAGTAGATTAAAAAATTAATCTAAAAAACCACATTTAAAAAAAGAAAAAAATAACATTGATCCGGACAAACAAACGGACAAGAAAGCAAGTTAATAAAAACGTGTTAAAATTGAAGACCGTCAAGTATAATACAAAATGAGTTTTTGCTGCTTCTGGTGTATGCCAAGAATGTTTATACGTTTTTATATGGAAGTAGCACTGATGAAAACAAAGGTAAAGCTTCATATCCAGAGAAACACACACTGAAGGATACGTGTGAGGCAAAAATGCCTCTTTTTTTAATGCTGCATGTGAAGATCAGATAGACTGATGGACCTTTCCAACAATGAACAACTAGAAAAACAAAACACGGATAAGCAAATAATTGCGGCATAGAAAAGCATATGAATAATGTAGCTGAAACAAATTTTAAAACACAAGATTGCAATTTAAGTGCCCCGAGGAAGGACTTTTCATCTCAGTGCATAGGTAAATTATTCGCAATTAGATTGTACAAAATATTTCAGCTTGAAAATTAAATTATGAATTCTACAATTTGGTAATTTCCCCCGAAAAAGTTTGTGAACCAAGGGTCCACTGTACTGCAATCACGTTCTTTTAAAATTTTGGAAAATTCTCCCAAAAATAGAATAAAAATGTTTTTCCCTACTTCAAGATCCAGAAAAATAACTGTGACCGACATTGTGAGTACAGTACTGTACTGTATAACGGCTGTAATATTGTATTTCGGATTTTGGGATCTGGAAAAAATGTTTTGATGTACTAGCGAGACCTCAAAAAGGGATTCGTTCTATACAATAATTCGTTATAGTGAAATTATTTGTGCTGTAATCCTTTTTATCGAGAAGTGAGAAAAGGCTCTCAAAAATTGAATGAAGATGTTTTTCCCAATTTTAAGATGCAGAAAAATAACTTTGACCGACATTGTGAGTATAACGGTGATAATTGTTCGTTTCGGGCGTGTCGGTAATCGCGTGTCTGGTGACCGTTTTTCAAAGTTGATGATTACCGAGAAAACACATTTTTTGACTGTCGTAACGAACAATGTCGGATGATTGAACGTCGCGTGACCTTGAGCAATTTGCCTGAGGCTGTTGTTTGTGTGAACTCTTATTAGCTTTACAAGCATTTCTGTATTAGGATGCCCCACTTGCATGTTTTATCAATTCTGAGGCACATCCTTCGCTTACATGCATAGTCTTCAGAACAATGAAAAAAAAAGGCGTTGTGACAATGCCCTTTGATTTTCAAGCTACAGTACAGTATTCTTGCGCACCTTTTTTTCTGCTGGTATTTTTTTCTGCTAGTTATGCGGTATGGGAAAGTTGCCCTAACCTTTAAAAGATTGTCAGTTACAAGGTTGCCATCTTTTGTCAAATGAGTAGAAGTTACCTAATCAGGATTTTGATGCATCCCACATATTTTTGGAGGCCTCCGACTCGGATAATTGGGTTGCTTAACTAATTTAATTTCAAGCATGTATACTGTACAGTACTTCGAAAAACAATCTTTTAAATTATCCCTTGTTCTCAAAATTGCCCAAGGATAATCCGAAAAATTTCATACGGCTTTTGATTTCAAATGAAGGTATTGCACCGCGTAGCGAAATTTGTTCGAATCGACAAAAATTTAAGCCACATTCTTCACAAACTTCAAAGAAAATGATAATGTTTGACAGGAGTTTTGCGGTTCTGGATTAACTTCGAGAATCTCGTTTTAGTGCGAGGTACCTTTTTTTGTGGTCTAGCTGTAATGGCAAAAAAATCGATCTTGAAAATGACTTGGATATCGAAGTCTGTTTTTATTTTTCTGACGTTCACTCTTTTTTTCAGACACAAATATGAGTGATTTGTAGGAGATAAATTCTCTGTGTTAGGTAGTATTGTATCGTTTTTTGGCGAATGAATTGAAAAATGTCTTGCTGGGTTATCGAACTCACGAAAGTGTCTGGAAAGATCTTATGTACGATTAGATAACTGATCTCAGTTTCGTAAGGAGAAGGTGTACAATACAGTACAACTGTTCTCCGTTTGCGCGTCGCATTGTTTCTGGGAGGGCGAATACTCCGGGGAGTGGTGAAAAAACGAGAGGGAAAAAACACAAACTATGCTTGAGAATTCGATGCATTTCTGATTATTTTTTCTTGGCTTTGAAATTTCAGCTGCGGTACGAGTTTGTGAGCGGAAACAAAGCTGGGCTCCTCGTTTTGAATTCTACTAATGGGGAGATCACATTGTCCCCGGCGCTGAACACGAATGTTCCGATCGATGCGGAAATGCGTGTTTCCGTCACTGGTGAGCCTTCGATTTTTTCTTTTGTTCTCTTGTGACACTTCCTGTGCTGGCATAGTAAAATAACTGGTACAGTATCCCGCTTTTTCATGTACGAGTCTTGTTTATTAATTTACGAGGCCGTATGGAAAGTTACTGTGCCGTGAAAACGGTGAAAAGCCAGTTTTAAAAAATTGTTCCTGGCTTTAAATTGTTATGCTGTAGTTGTCGCTGACATTTACGGATTACAGGGACTTTGAGACATCCCAAATCCACATCTTTATGCAGTACCTTAGTTACACTGCGCAGTACTTTCGACGTGCGTGAGTTTTAACATTTTCGAATACGAGGGCAGGTTACCAGGTTTATGAGTTCTGTCCGTCTTTTGTTTTCCAATTTTTTGAAACTTATATTTGGTCATTTCTTGAACACGGTTGGAAATTTCCCTCTTATTTACAGAAATTTAGATGCGATAGAAAGATAGATCCCATCACGGGAAAAGTAGGTTTACCTTTCACGCTTGAATTTTTTCATGGGTTTGGGGGCGGTTGCAAGGGTTCTCGAAAATTTTGACCAGCTAGAAAATTTTCATAAAATAACTCAAGATTGCGGTCCGAATGACGAAAAAAAAAAATTTCATGACGAGAAGACTACGTTCCCATGAAAAATGTTTTTTTTTTTTAATCCTTGAAATGTTTTTATTGGTGACGCTCAATTGAGAAGTTGCCTAACAATATCAATTGGTGAGCAAACAATTGCTCCGGTCAAGACGTTTGTTGAAAAATATTCTGAACGAATGGACAGAGGATTGCTTCAAGTCTTGTTGATTCCTATTGCGGTTTGGAGAATTTTTTATTTTATTTCAGAAACTGTAATTCCCAAATGTTGTTTGTTCAAAGGCACTGACAATTTCAAATTGTCGAACCAACCGGCGGTTTTGTTGGGCTTCATGTGCAAATGAGGCTTACATTTCCGAAGTCCTGCTGTAGATTTTGCAATGCAGGGTTTTTGGTGACATTTACGAGGGAAAGCTTAGTTTAATTTATTCGGGGACGAGAAAAGCTGCCTTTGGGGGAACGTAAAACAGGATTAACGACGATTGCTAGAAGAACTGAATAGAGTAATGAAATTGCTTTGACTGTACTGTACTTTGTAACTTACTTGTTTTGGACATGTCGTTCGTCTAATTATGTGCAATATTCAAGGTATTGATTTAATTTCAGCAGTTTTACTTGTTTTCGGAAAAAGTGCTAAAAATAACTGAATTTTCCTTTTCGTTTATTTTTATTTTCGCTTGGACGTGTTTTAATTGGGATATCTCCGAGATGGTTTCTCACGAGCTGACATGACCAGGTGCAAATGAAAATTGGACGTGTCATTAGAGTTGCCGACGTTTAAATTGTGTGGGAAGGCTTTTAATGGCGACGTCGTCGTCTCTTGTGTGTTCTTTTTTTTTTGAAAGACGGTTTGAATACGGTGGAAGCGGGATTGCTGCTGACGGTGCGACTCGTGACACCGGAAATGCTGTACAACTCGGTCACGTTGCGGCTCGAGGATGTGACGGCCGACGCGTTTCTTGACCCTGTCGTGTACGACAATTTCGTGCGCGGACTGGCCGCCATCATTCCGTGCCCGGTTGACAACGTGTACTTATTTAACGTCCAGGTACTTGCCTTTTTTTATTCCTTTTTTTTCTTCCTTTTTTCTTTTCTTGATACTGCAAAGCCGGAGAAATGGGGTTCGATGAAAAATGTTGGTACTGTACTACTGTATTAGGTTTTTCATCTGATGAAAGGTCGCTGTTCATTATCCATGTATTTTTTTTTCTCCAACTAGTTCTACAAGTTCTGAAACCTTCCGTGTCGGCGATTTAGTCGTTTTTGTTTTATTTTTTGCTTTCAGTCAAGTGAACCTGATTGGTAACATCTGCGAGCCGAGAGGAAAAAAAAGTACTGTACTGTGCTGTACTATTTGCACCATCATTAAATTATGACAGGTTTTTGGGTGTTGTTGATTACTGTACTTGTTAGTTTTTGTGTTGTGTTTTACTGGGTTCGTTTCCAAGTTTGTAAAGGTTAGGGTATGGGTTGGCGGAGGTCTCGAGTTGGATATTTCCCGTGCATAGAATTGAGATGGTGATTAAGTTGGATCTTGAGTGAGATTGAGTTTGGTCATGAGTTAAATTAGGCCAGGTTAGGTTAGGTATTGGCATATATGTCTGGTTTTGTGATTAGATTATGATTCGAGTTATATCAGGTTAGGGGAATGACATTATGATCTTATTTTAGGTTGGGCTATTTTCGTATTATAGCGGTCGAAAAAAAAAACGAAGAGACGACGTAGGAATGATTTAAACTAGCTTTTTGTTGGATTTTGCTGGTGCATAAACTCCATTTATGTCTTCCAAGTTTGAAATTTACTCAGAAAGCCCGCACTAACATTTGGAATTGCTGATGTAGTGCAGTTTAAATGGCTTTTGCTCGACTTATGCATTAAACACTTGGGTACGGCGTACATATATTACATTCAGGGTATTTTTTTTAGAAGTTCCACCTTCCCGAAAGAAACGTTTAAGCCTGCGATTTGTGCTGCAACTTACGGATGAACCATGCTAACGTGAAATTTGCGTGTTTCAAGTTTTAAGTACTGCAGGAGTAGGTTACTTGTGTGTATTTGTGGGGGGAGGGGGAATGCATGTGTGACCGAGACTTGGCCTCCGGGTGATTTTTACGGTTCTGCGCATTTTCGGATTCCTCGAATGCCCGCGTTCTTCAGTTTTTTTTTCGCTTCTTTTTACTCGCGAATATTTTCCTTAAAGTTATCGTTCTCATGGGGATGCGATTTGGATCAGAGAATTCTGTTGGTTTCATTGAACTTTGCGTATCGGGAGTTGAACATTTGAAATTGTGATCCTTTATTTTAAAAAGATAGTACTGTATTTAATTTTTTATATCAAACTCGTGGTCTTTTCTCTCCACACGATGACGTGAATTGTGGGTTAGAACATATGAAATACGGCATCATCGTGGCATTTTTAATTTTTAAGGAGGATTTCGACGGGGATTCTCGTGTGCTGAACATCAGCTTCACAGCCAGAAAAGGGCAGACGAACGGAGAAGAGGACCTGTTTTCACAGCAATTTTTGCAGGACAAAGTTTATCTTAATCGGAATCTTTTGGGGAAAATATCCGGGTTCCAGGTTAGTTGCCGAGGGATGATTTGGTCAAGTGTGAAAGGTTTTTTTTCAAAAATTTTGACTTACTCGTGCATTTTAGGTTATGCCTTTTTCGGATGATCTCTGCGCCCAGGAGCCCTGCTTGAATTTCCAGCGTTGTTTCGTAGTTTTGAAGTTTGCGAACGCCGCTGGATTCATTTCGTCTGAGTCCATGCTTTTCAGGCCAATTTATCCTGTGTCGTCTCACGCTTGTCGTTGTCCCGCTGGTTTCACTGGTGAGTATTTTGAGTGGAAAGCGGATTTCCGCTGAGCTGTACAGCGTGGGGAAAATTTGGACATTATCATCGAAACTTTTGTTCCATTAAGAAGTCCATTATCCGAAAATTGTTATCGAGCAACTCCAAAACTGTGTGGAATGCCTTAGTTAGTCAATAACGCTCCCCCGCCTTTATTGTGTAATTTTAAGCTGCATGAAATTGTTAATCCTTGGGAATTTCCCTCAGAAATTCTAGAGATTTTTGACGACGAAATATGATGAAATAACAGCGGAAACATTTTTGGAAAGGACAACACGATTCGAAGCAATTAAGGATACTGTATTAACAATGCTTCGTAATGGACAAGAAGCCGGATATTTGTTTTATGTTTTTGCGCGTGAGCACTGCTGCAAAAGTAATTAGAATTGATTAGGGTTTGAGGATTATACTGTAAAAGTTACATACATTGCGTAGATGTTGACAATTTCTAAACTTTTGCTGATTCTAAGCGAAACATTTATAAGAGCAAACAAATTTTTCAAGTGCTTCAAATAAATTTTTAATTTTGCTCAATATTTGAAACCCACGAAATCCCGAATTTTCCATGGCTGAGGGAAGTTCAAACTCTATTTTATCCTTAGCTAAAATATTCTGGTTGTGAGAATGTTGCTCATTGCTCTAACTCGCAGTGAAATTGAAGTACTGTATTGTACTACAGTTTTTGCGATTAGGATTTGAAGCATTGTACAGTACTGACAAATGAATTTTTACATGATTTTCGTTCTTTCTTGCTTAGGCATGAGAGAACATTATGAATGCAACACGGAACTGAACCTGTGCTACTCAAATCCATGTGGACGTTCCGGAACGTGTTTGCAGACTGAAGGCGGCTACGTTTGCGCTTGTCCACCTGGAACAACTGGTAAACTCATTTTGAACATTCATTTTTTCTTCTAATGCAGAATTTTCTAATTACAGTATGTGGATTTCTTTGCTTGTGAAAAAGGTCGAATAACGGACAATTTTTTGAATAATGCACTTCTAGAAAGATAGAATCCTGTAATTTATAGAACCGCTTCTATAGTTTTGAATTCGAGACTTCTCCATGAATTATTTCCATGGCTCGTTTTTTTTTAAAGATTTCATTGAATTACGTATTTTTTCTCCGTATTCTCAGTAAGTTTAATTTAATTGAGCTTGTTGAGTGTATTTGACTATTCGCCCAGAAAGTGGCCGGTGTTCGATTGAATTTTGGTATTGAAAATCCATTGCGTGATTTCAAGCGTTTTTTCAGTTTAAAGATTGTAATTGAAGTTATGTGCGGTATTTCCTTTTTTGTATTTTTGATCATACAGTTTTCAATCGAAAGAGGATGGCGGGGTATTCAAGTTGATTTTCCTTTGAAATTTTTATAATATGACTGAACGGATGGTTCTCGTCAAAGATAGCAAATATGCAGGCATACATATTTTCATCCTCTTTTTAAAAATTACAATAAAAGTAATGGGAAGAGGTTTGTAGAGGCGAGCTAAAGTGTGAATTCGAGAATCCAGTATTAAACTTGAATGTGTTTACCAAAAATGCCAGGTAAGAACTGCGAAATCAACATGGACGCCGGGGACGAATGTCCAGCCCCTCGAAAAAGTCTGTTACTTCACGAAAAGCCGGAGGAACCCTTGTGTCGTGGGGATTCGTATTGCGAAGTGATGCCTTCACCTCTGCGAGGTGGAAATGGGGGAAGAGCTCGGCACGTGACACCAGCACCTTCGACTGGACGTGGATTGATTTGTGCCAATTGCACTCATTCGCCGTTTTACTCTCGGTTCTGCCACTTGACTGCGAGGTCGTTCTCCTTGGGCTCGTATCTCACGTTTCCTGGTCTCGATGATCGATTCCGACTGAATCTCAAGTTGAAGTGAGTCACTCTTGTTCGCCTTGCAAGGTCGAACGGATCTAATTATGTAGAGAAGGAGAAATATGAGGAATTTTTTGAAGTCTTGCGAAATTGCGTGCAAGTTTTTTATTGCGGTCAATTGAAACGCACATTTTCCTCCAGGTGACTTCTCACAGATGTGGGGGGAAAGTGTTGTGTCAGTGGTTTTCCTGATGACGGTTGCTAAAAAGGAAACTGTTGATTTAATTGCGGTGACTGTGCATGTAGCTGATGATGAATACGGTTGATGCCCCAATAGGAAATTCTAAAAAAGAAAGATAGAGAAAAAGCCATTCAAAATTAAGAATATCTTTGCGAAAAGACGGAAGCATGACAAATTTTTCTCCCTAGTTTTTCCGGATTTTCTCCTTAGATCAGCGCTAAAAGTTTCCCAAATTCATCTTGATTGCATCATCATTAGTTTTCATTGGTATCGAATTTATCGAATAAATTATTGAAAAGCTGCCAAAAAAGTAATGCTCAAAATGAAAATTGTGTTCGTTACTCTCAGACTTTTGAGAATCACCGTCGTGAATTTATTTACATTTTTTTAATACTCCTAAAATGAAATTTGTTTTCTTCCAGTCCCGGTCAGAGAGCTTTCTGATCAATTTCGTGATCGAATAAGAACTATTGAATGAATATTGAAATCAGAGTCGCGTACACAGGGTAAGCGTATTTGTAATTGTTAAAATTCTTGATTTCAGATTTTTTTTATGATTTTTTCCTTTTCAAGTTTGAACATAAGCATGTTCGTTCTTTTTTTTCTCATTTAATTTATTGTATCCTATAACTTATTGTTTTCCCTATTCTAAGGTTTGCAACGAGGAATCCCAACGGTCTCATACTGTTCAACGGAAGATACGACGGAAGAGGAGATTTTGTTGCGCTTGAAGTTGTTGATGGAAGTGTGAGGTTTACTTTTTCGCTTGGTGACCCGAGACGAGTTGGAACGGTAATCGTTGGAGCTGGATCCGATTCCGGAAGTGTTGACGATGGACAGTGGCACTCCATTGAAGTGTCCTATTACAATAAGGTTAGATTTCTAGTGAATCGACTATTTTTTTCAAGTTGAAAATTATTTTTTCGGATGTTTTTGCGCAGTTATTTTGTCGATATGGAGCGTGTGAGAAGCGCATAAATTTTGAAACTTTCTGTTAATCTCCCATAATATGAATCTTTAATTTTTTTTTTCGGGTGTCCTCGAAATTTATTTCTTGGTTCATTTAAAAAATATATGGACAGCTCTGAGATCTGTGAAGTAATTTAACTCGTATTAAAGAATGACATTACTGTGATGCTTTTTTTCGTTGCTTGAATCCGTTAACAACCAAGAGGTAATTTTTCTCTATTCAGATTTAAATAATGAAAACAAATCAAATGAGTGTTAATCTCCTGTTTGAATTTAATTTTTCCTAAGCTGTTGAACCTGCGACTGTTCAGACAAAAATTGGTGGTCTATTTCTTCATTCGTCCGCCTTGAAATTTCACCTGATGCTTTCGTTCTCATGTATGTTTATTCGAGAGTGTAGAAAAATGTTTCGATTTTAACGGAATTACGTTCAATGAAAAAAACTTTTTTAACCAAGGTTGGGGCATTTCTTGTGTTCGAGACTACATGCTGACTAAAAATGTGTCGCATTCTACAAGACTTACTTAGTACGATCTCTTATGTGATCACTATCATTTGTTATGCGTTTCTCGGAAATTTTCTCTGATGATGAAATTATCATATTTTTTTCAGACGGCGAAGCTGATCCTAGATGACTGCGACTCGTTTTTGGCACTGAAATACGCCTCTTCGCCGACGTCACTTGCCTCAATGTTTGACACCGTAACCGGAGACAAGTTTGTTCTTCCTTCTGGACCAAGTCGATATCGTTGCGCCAATCAAACTTCTTACGTTCTTGATGATATGTAAGTGTTCAAATATTTTCAATGAAAGGACATTTTTTCGCTACTGATCGGGTTGAATGTTTTTATTCAGGTGTTCGTCGCAGACAGAGTTGTGTTATCGGTTTTTGGATTTGACTGGGCCAATGCAATTGGGTGGTCTGCCGGAAGAACTTTTGGAAGTCAATGGTGGTCCTGGAGCTCCTGTGCAATTTTACAACTTCTCTGGGTGTATTTCTGACTTGCAGATCGATCACCAGCTTGTGGATTTGAATGAGTGCGTTGTTTTTAATTTTACGTGTATTTTAATTATTGATATTTTGATTTCAGTTGCTTTTTCCGCTTAAGTTTTGGTAACACTTATGAAAATATTGCATAGCACGATGAGTAATTCGAATCTTGTTTTCAGTTTCGTTTACAATAACGGAACGAAGAGCGGATGCGAACCAAAAATGAACTACTGCTCATCAAACCCATGTCAAAGGAACGCGCCGTGTACGGAAGGTTGGGGGACTTACATTTGCAATTGTCCTCCAGGTTGGGGTGGAAAAGACTGCAGCTCGGGTACGTTTCTTTTCTTGCTTCATGCCTACATTTAAAATGAATATTTTACTGATGATGTTTTGTTGTATTTTTTAGAAGTGGCAATGCCGAAGCAGTTCTTGAGAGAGGACAGTGTGATGATTCTGAAGCCTGCGGGAAATTTGAGACCGATTCAGCTCCCGTGGCATTTGGGACTTACATTTCGCAGCAGAAACGCCCACGGAACCTTGATGTCTGTCGCAATTGGCGGGAGGAAAAAGGCCGTCCTTCAGGTGACCTACTTTTTTTTATGGCTTTAGGTTTTGCACTGAAGCAAAAAAAAAAAAGTGGATCATAGCTCATGAATCGCTAAAACTAGATGTACGCAACCTTTTTCTGAGCGTCAAATAATTATGCAGTTTACAATTAATCCTAGCAAACTGCATCATTATACCTTGGTACCGTTAGTTCTCTGCAGTTTTTTGTTGTAAAATCCAGTTTTCTTTATTCATAAACGAAAGAGTCTACTGAACAAAAGTTACAATGCTAATTACAGTACAATACTTCTTAATATTTTTCTGTGCTACTCTCCGCTTTTCATTGTCCTCCTCCATGGGTTTTATCCTTCTTTCGTCAGCACACGCTGAACCCTCCCTTCACCAATGAGTAAATTTCTCTTAATTTGAAATTCAATGGGCTTGCTTAGACCGTCAATGGATATAATTGTTATTGACAGAATTAAGGGTGGTTTTGGGGCTATTCTCCAATCCATTTTACTTCTTGTAAGTCAAGAGCACGTTCTTTTTGTTTTCAACGTCGATTTGATCTTGGTTTTTAGTTACGGGGTGGACGACTGGAGTTCCGTTACGATGATGGCCGAGTGGAATTGACTGGTGGTGGTGTGGCTGATGGATCTTGGCACCAAGCAGAAGTAACTTGGATGGCTGGTGGGAAAATCTGGGTCAGCTTGGATTACGGAGCCCGAGAAGCAACTGGTGGTCCAATCCGAGGTGACATCTCGGGGCTTTTAGTCGAGAGTGTTGCCCTTGGCGGCCCAGCAATTGGCGTTGAAAATAAGTGAGTTCTATTTTCATGAAAAGCAAAAGCAATTGAAATTTATTGAGATATTTGATTTTAATCATCAGCGAAGTGACACCTCGTGGAGTCGATTTCGGCCTGACTGGCTTTAAGTACTTCGTTGGCTGTGTGAAGGATGTGAGAGTGGGTGGGGATTCTATGAGTTTGGACGACCCACTGATTCCGTCCATGTCTGTGATTGACGGCTGCGGGGCGACGGATTCCTGCGTGGAAAATGCGTGTCCCGAACACAGCACTTGTGTCGATCGATGGAATGCGCACTCCTGTCCGTGTGGAAGAGGTCAGTCATCTTCCCTCGTACATCTTCAAGGACGACTGCATTTTTTGAAGTTCTTTCCGGTACTTTTAGACTCTTGGAGGTTCTTTTCCCGTCAGTGTATCGGAATTATTACAGTATTATTTTTCCAACAGGAATCCTCCATAATTTCCACGACAGAAAATGAATCTTCGTTGAGTCAGTGATGCGATATTTTGCTTTAACATGGGTTTTTGCAGCGATGTCTCGAGTTACGGACATGATCACTTCTCCAATTATAACCTCTATTTGAAAAAACATTTTCATAGACTTCGATGGGATTGTTTCCAATCGCAACACTTCTAAAAATTGAATATTTGTAGCCAAAAATAAACAAAAATTATTATTAATTTTTCTTGCGGAAGAAGACATCTCGTGAAATGCTGTTATGATAAACTCGATACTGTAACATGTTTTGATATGGTGAAAGTCTTGATGAAAGGTGGATATCCACCGCCTTTTTTATTTCCTCGTGTTGTGCTACTTATATTCGAAAAATATAAAGCGAGAACGTTCGTTCATGAATGCCTGTTTCATGATGTTTCCTTTTCTATTTACAGGATATGTTGGTCCGAATTGCTTCAACATTTGTGACCTGAACCCGTGTGCGAATGGTGGAGTTTGCGTCTTGGACCCAAAAGAGAAGGAAGGGTATTCATGTCAGTGCTCTTCACCGCTGCATTCTGGTACGGAATCTTTTCATGCATGAATTTCTTATCTAACAAATTGAATGATTAAATCTCAAGATAACCTTGCAGAACAAACTTGTTTCTGAAGTTTTTTTTTTTTCCTTCTAGGCCGTTATTGTGAGCAGGTATGGATACAACCTTGTCCCACGCATTGGTGGGGTTATCCGGTCTGTGGACCGTGTTCGTGTCCCGTTGAAAAGGGCTATGACGCCGAGTGCGATAAGGATACTGGAGCTTGTCAGTGCGAGGTAAGGAAAACAACATTTTATTTGATGAGGATGTTATGTCAACTCCTGTAATCGGCTGATTCCGAGTCTTGAATCAGAAGAGCTAATTATTGAAGTGTTGGGTTTCAAAAGAGTCACTTCACGTTTATTGAAAGTTATATTTTCTTTTTAAATTGCAAAAATTACTTTCTGTTGACAGCATTTTTTTTTATATGCGTAGGCTCGATTAACGGTCCTCAGTAGCATTCTCTCTGAGACACTGCTGTGACTGAAATTAAATTGAAGCTTATGTTGAGAATCTTTTGTTGTGGTGATTATTTATGATTGTAGAAAAAATCTAGGGATCATTTGTAGAGAATGAAATCATTGACGTGCGTGACATAATTTTTTTCTTGCGATTGGATTTCTTGACAACAAATCAAATGCAACTCATGAAAGGAACCCTAAACTTTGTCCGACTTTGCGCACCGCAAAGAAAATTTTGTTACTTTTTCATTATTTCCCTTGAAATGTTATTTCAACAGATCATTCATGCTGCGGAAAAGGATGTAAAGATTTTGTTGTATTTTTTATTTTGATACCCCAACCAGAAAAATCACTATCGGCCCAACGGATCAGATGTTTGTCTTCCTTGCGAATGCTATTCAACCGGTTCATTCGGAGGAGCGTGTGAAGCCGGCTCTGGTCAGTGTCGGTGTCGTGACGGGGTCATTGGTCGCCGTTGTGACTCGTGTGCGAACCCAAGAGCTGAAGTCACCACTGAAGGATGCGATGGTTTGTGGATTGAATATTAAATTTCGTCTCGATTAATGTACTTCATATGTCCCCGTGGGATTGAACCATTCAAAGAAATTCACGTATTCAGAAACGCTTATTTTTCACGTACCCACGATAGAGTTGCTCAAATTAATAAGGTTGAGCTACGTGGAATGTCCAGATTTTTTGCTAAAAAAAATCATTCCAGATTTCTTGCCAATGTCATTTCTGAATTCGTATATAAATTAATTCGTGAATAAATGAATTGATAGATTTTCAGCACACGAAGATTAAGCAAAAACGAGCAGAAACCATTGAACACTATACCTAATATAATCATGAGCTCCTGCTTTAAAATTTTTTTTTGTTTGAACTCTTTCCATTCCTTAGCATTGACTATTATTTTTTTTTCTTGCCACAGTGATCTACACTGGATGTCCGAAAAGTTTTGCAGCTGGGCTTTGGTGGGACAGGACGGTGTTCGGAAAATCTGCCGTAGCCACGTGTCCTCGTGGATCGCAAGGACTCGCCTCAAGATTTTGCGATGTTAAAATTGGTTGGATACCTGCGGACACTTTCAACTGTACCTCAGATCCGTTCGTCGACTTGGCACGCCAGGTAAGCATTACTTGGGTTTTTATTTCGTGGAGGGAAAACAATTCATCCGACACTCATCCAGCCTTATAGAGTGCATGCGCTTTAGCCTCGTAAATACTTTTTTCTTTTCAGTTGTCTCTGATCGAACGCGGTGGGCTCCAGCTTAGTTCTTACACAGCTGTGCGAGCGGCGGCTGATTTGAGAAAGGCGACGAATTCAACAAGACCTCTACATGGATCGGATGTATTAATTTCTGCACAATTGTTGGGTGCGTTGTTGCATTTCGAAATGGTGCGGAATTTGAATCTGACTCATCGAAAGGACAAGGATTACATCAAAGTAAGTCACATTCAATCCCGAGTTTTGTGTAACCTTTGATATTCATTTCGTATTTTCAAGAATCTTGTCGAATCCATGGATGTCATTGTCGGTCCTGAATATGAAGAACATTGGAGTCGTGTGAGAGATTTGACTGGATCTGGACTCGAGGTTCTCATTGCCCTTGTATCGGAATACGGGAGAGCTCTGGCGATTTCTCTGGCTGACGTTTACACGAGACCGTTTGAAATCGTGACGAACAATATGGGTGAGTAAAGCACAATACTGTGCTTTACTTTACTTAATGAGGTCAACTGATGTAGAGGAATCATTGAAAAATGTTCGTGTTATTTTTAAGTAGCCATGTGATTAAATTGTCCATGCGTATTCTTATTCGCGTAAATGACACGCTGTAATATCTGAGTAATGCAAAATCACTTCCAGTGAAACCTTGTATTTGAGGTAATTTTTCTGCTTTTGTTGTAAAATTATTATTTCTACACTTGAAAAATTATTTTTTGTATGCAGAAACTGATGTTTTCTTCTTTCTGGGTTTGCAGTTTTCGGTCTGGATGTACTGGACGTTGATGAACTTGTTGATGCAGTCAGTGTTCGTGGTTCTCCACCTCCACCACGATACGTTGCCGAATTGACAGAAACTGGGGGCGAATTTTTGTTGCCGAAGTACGACAACTTCGTTCGGGTCTCCTCGTCGCGAGGACAAAGTCATGATGAAGAGACGGATTCCTGGTTTAGGAACTCGCATTTCAAGCTAAAATTAGACTGGGGTGCGAGCGAAGGCAACCGGCTTTCAAAACGTCGCGCTCGTCGTCGGCAAGGTTAGTCAAGTTGTCAATATTATTTTTTCTTTGGGCCATTGTTTCCATGGTGTGCATTCCATTTGTCGGATTCAGTTCAATAAAATATGTATTATTGGTGATGGGTCGACTCGAAAATACGATTTCAAGGAGATACTCTATGACAAAATAGATATACTGTACAAATTGAATCTGTAATTCGCTGGGCAAAGTTTTAATATGATTTTTGTCAAGAATTCTTTATTGTATTGCTTCTATGAGTTGAGATTATTTTAATTTTAAATCGCGACGTCCCCACGACCCTTGGAGTTGGTCTTATCGTTACGGAGGTATGAACTGATTTTTTTCGTTTTTGCTGCGAATAATTCGGATTTGTAAGGCTCAGATGTATTCTTCTTCCCTTTCTGCAATGAATTCCTACGACAAAACACATATCCTACCCCTTCTTTATGTTTGATTTCATTCAGCTATAAAACTTTATAATCCGATTGATGAATGGCCGGGCGCAGTAGTTGTATTTCCTTGAGGAACCACAATTTTTTGTTTGATAATGCAGTCTTTCATCTGAAGCGGAACCCACTCTTCTCCACTAAAAATCGATGGCAGTCATACTGCATTGAGTGACTAGTTCATTATTCGTAGCGCCCGTTTTTCAGAATACAATTGTTTTATTTAAATCATGGTTTTTCTTCTTTTTTTTTGCAGCAGTGGTTTTCAGTTACGCCTTTTTCCACCCGTCGATCGGAGCCATTATGCCGGCGGCGTACTCGAGAACCATCAAACGCCGATGGGGCTTGGGTCTACAAGTCGGCTCTCCTCTTGCCATGTACCACGTTCACTACCCAGATGGCGGCGGAGGAAATGATGCTTCTCTAGACGATGGATCTCGGCGACGCGGAACGGATCTCCGATTGCAGATTGATCGCGAGGCAGCAGGGCGGTTTGCGAGTGGCACCCCGCAGTGTGTGTGGTGGCAGGCGGATGCACCGAGTGGCGCCGGCGACGTTTTGTCGAGGGTGGAGCGTGACGGGGATGCGGGGGCCGTCGTTGAAAACGGTGGCGATGATGGCAACGAAGAGCTCAGTTCTAGCTCTGTGTCTGACTACAGGTTACTTGCTTTTTATTTCGTTTTGTTGTTAATTATCATTTCAGCGAAAATGGTCTTTTTTCAAATAATGTATGCTAACAAATATTTTCTTTCGGCAGAGGAAAATGGTCCAAGGATGGTTGCAGGACAACGGTTTTTGCATCTTGGGAATATTCTGGCGACGATTTGTTCGTTGACTGTTCGTGTAGTCATGCACATGGACCCATGGCAGTCTTGGTTGATCGCGTGGAACCAGAGGTACAGTTTCTTTTCAATAACTGCGTAAAAAAAGTATCCAAACCTTGTTCGAAAATGGGTCTGATCTATCATTCAAGGAAAATACAATTTCATTGACTCCTAAATTTGCGCATGCGTTCGTTTTTCGACGAGGTATGATTTACTGAACGTGTGAGTTGTTTCTGAAGGATTTATTAATTTATTTTACGTTATAATTATTTCAGTACGTGCTTCAAGTTGGATTTTCGGAGGAGATGAGCGTTTGGTTTGGAGTTGGAGGCGCTGTTTTGCTGCTGTTCCTCGCTGCAGTTGGACTGTTCATGGTGGTCATTTCGGATGGAAGGTCCGGATCTTCTGTGTCAAACGCAGCTGCGATCCATGCTCATGTGGCCATGTGCTGCTTCTTCGCCATATTCACTTATCTGTTGGCATTGAAGCTTCGAGTGCCCCTTCTCAGGAATGAGGTGGGAATTCATATCACGAGCACTGTGTTTCTAATACTGTACTGTACTTTCTATCAGCTTACACTTTTATACGTTGATACATTGTGTAATTTCGAGCGAGTAAAATAATGCTCGCAAAAAATGAATGATTTTTCGAACATGTGCTTATTCACGAATTCTATTGACGCAATTTTTGGATACCTCGAAAACGTTGTGCCCCAAAAATATTCCCTGCTTGACATTCAGAATGTTGCCCCATCTACAAAGATCGAGGCTTTTCTTCTGGAATATGGTAGATTTTCAACTGAGTGTTTCAGCTTGAATTCATCTTCTGATTCATTTTTAGTCGTGTTTTGCAGTTCGAAAATTTGAGAAAAATCCTACAGGTTACCTAAGAAATACCTTCAAAATTTGACCTTGCTAAGAATTTCTTTGTATTATTCCCTTGGCGATATCACCTGATGCGACATCGATACATTGGAATTTTGAAACGTTGATCATATTTGATTGCCTATGAAATTTCTTTCGATGAATTCATTTTGGCAGTTCGGATGCAAGTTTGTTGCTATGAGCCTTCACTACTTGTGGATGTCGGTGTTCGCCTGGATGGTTGTCGATGCCTTGCACGTTTATCGGATGCTAACTGAACTCAGGGATGTGAACCATGGTGGAATGCGAGTCTATTTGGCGTTGGGTTATGGAGCACCAGCCGTTGTTACAGCGTTGGCTGTTGGTGTCCGTGCTGATCAATTTGGAACCGTCTATTTGTGAGTTGTGAACTGCCAATCGATTTCTCGAAAGCGTGGGTTTAAAAATTTTTTTTTTTTCGAATATCAATTCTTACAAAGGCTATTCTTTCTCCGATGTTCGACTTTGGTCTCTGAAATGTCAGGCAGATGTCACTGAAATCCCGATCCTGACCGGAGAGATTGAAGTGGAATAATCCTACAAGCAGAATCCTGCTAATCTAGATTAACGTAATCTGATTAAAATTTGACCTGTAGAAATTATACGATATCAATTCATTGACAAGAAAGTCAATCAGACTGGGTCGTCTAGCGTTTAAGTTTCACACTTTCATGAACCCTTATCAAGCCGTAAAACGTTCTTATCTTTGTTTTTGCGGTTGTTGGTGATTATTTAAGCCTTGATCTTGAATGGGAGAACTCCTTGCGAATTGTCCGATAACATCATGCGTCATCCGTGTATTTTTTTTCAGCTGCTGGCTGTCGATGTATGAAAGCGTCATCTGGAGTTTGGTTGGGCCTATTTGCACGATGATTGTCGCTACCTTGGTCATTCTTGTTTTGGCGTTCAGGGCATCGCTCGATTTGAAGGGACGCGTCGATGGATTCGCTAATTTGAGGTTGGTATAAATGTTTCTTGCAAATTTTCGGAAATGTAAGCATTTTAAACTTTTTATGATACCCTTCGAGAAAAAAAAATCGGAAGCAATTCGATGTAATTGTCATTCGGGCAGAATTTTCATGTTCATCTCTCGTAATTTCAACCTGTACTTCTATCTCTGGTATAAAAGTAAATTAAGTCGAGTATAATATGAACCTAAAAGAGAACATTTTTATATTGTGCTGTACTCGATTTTGAAATTGATTCAACCGATATTTAATTTGAGCATAATTTCGGGCTTTTCTTCTTTCATGCTCCAAAAGATATTTTTGAATGATTCAAAAATGTTACGGTCTCAATATATAATGAACGTAGAAATCCTGAAGTCAGAGACATGGGTCGTTGATGTGAACGGGAAATTTTTTCTCCCCACATGGTTCCAAGTCCTAAATTCAATTCAGCGTTGAATTTTTATATCACATTTTCGAAATTTTCGGCATGCAAGCAAATAATGAGAAAACAAAATTTTAAATTTAGATTGCTGCTGTGGCTCTGCGTGGGTCAAGTGCCCTTGGTGAGTGTGACCTGGGCGCTGTCCCTGCTGGCCGTGGACGCCGCATCGGCGAACCTGTCTGCCATGCATCACGCCCTGTCGGCATCTGCCTTCGTGACCGCCACTTACCTCTTCAGCGCGTATTGTGTGGTGAACCGTCGAACACGGCGAGTAATTGGGTCCAAATTGTCGGTGGTGTTTCCGTGTTGCTGCTCGAAACTGGCACGCGGGGAAGAGGATGACGACGAGTTTTCGACGAATGTCGTCAGGCCAGCTGGAGTCACTCCTGCCAGAGCTGGTAGACGATCTGGAAGAACCGTCACTAACGCTGCTGTGAGTTGTTTCTCATTTTCTTGCTTGGTTGGATTCTTGAAAGCCTTTGTGATTGCATTCCAAGTTCTAAGGCTTATGAAAATTGGTTCATTGTGCGTTATGACGTGACGTGAAATACATTGCAATACTTCAGTTTTCTATCGCAGATGTCGCTGGGGCATTAATCCCGTATGAGTCTGTAATCACGAAGCAAGCGTCTATATAATATTCACGTTTGATGACTGCATACGAAAAAACTAGAATATCTAAAGGTTCTTTAAAACCCGGTTATTGAATTGCAAAATTTTTTGCTGCTTAAATTAACCCACCAATTTCGGGGACATCTCGTCTTGAACGAATAAAAACTATTTTGCAGTAATGAAAAAAGAAATCACGCGCTGGTCAATTTCAAAAAATTTGAAAAATTGTGAGATTCTTTGTCATGCCCATTTTTTCTTCTAATGTTCAAGCGGTTTCTGGACGTCGGTTTATATGAGCAAGTACAGTACTTGTTCTGGGCATTCCTTTTATGTTCCAGTGGTTCATGATGTGTTGAAGAAATTCCTTTTTTTATGAGCAGAGAGTTGGATACGGCCCGGATTCAGAATTCCGTTTGCCAAGAAGAGGCTTTGGTTTCTCAACTTCATCAACCACCTCTAGATCGACGTGCAAGACGAGTAGTAGCCCGTACAGGTGCGTGCGAAGAAATTCAATGCCGTGCTTCATTCTGAAATTCCTATTTTAAAATTCACTTTATTTGATGTTTTTAGGAGCGATATTCAATTGAGGAATCCGTCGACAAGCTCAGTGACGGAGTCGCATGTGTGCAAAAGTGCATACGACTGCGACTCATCTTGTTGCGAAACTGCTGGACGAGGTTCGTTTTCCTCTCTGATTGTTGCCTTTCAAAATTTCTATTTTGCATTTATGGTAGAATTTTGCCTTGACCTTTTTATTCAAGTTATCTCTTTCCGTTATCCGTTCCAGAGCTAAAAATAAGGTGAACTTCTCTTCTCAAGGCATATAATTTTTTTTCACCTATTTTTTTTGACCAAATAAATGAAAGGATACACTGCAAATGACACGAAATTAAATCAAATATTTGGTTAAAATCCAAATTTTTAAGCTTGAAGAGCTGCTGCCGTTCCTGTCCAGGTTCGGGAAAAATTTGGTTTATCATTGTAATGGAGAAATGAGGGGTCGTTGTATGAGCACCGTTTTAATTATTCATCACCACCTTGCCAATTATTTTTATGGTGATAATTATTATTTTTCGGAATAGATAAAATGAGAAAAGGCTGGTCGAAGAGTGTGAGGACGAGTGAATCGGATGATGAAACATGGGACGAAGACGGCGGAGGAAACCGGTCCCGTGGACAAGCGGGTGACGAAACTCAGACTGACGACTGTAGCAGTGTTGGTCCCCGTCACCGTAGAAACCAACATCATCATCAACTTCATCATGCGGCGTCACATAGCGTCGGTTTGGCGTCGAGCCATTCTAGTGACGAAGACTCCACGGTGGTCAACGGAACCGTGCCTTCCAGTGGTTAGTTTATCCCGTTGAAAGTTGAAGGTTCCAGTTATCGACGTACGAAGAGGGGTTCCGCAAAAGTTATCCAGGTCTCCATCGAAAACTTGCACTGTAATTCAAGCAGATGAAATATGACGGTCAATTTTTAGTGAATTGTATTTTAATTAAAAAGGAAAGAAACTACATTCAGATGACGAGATACGAGTACAGTTGAGAATTATTCAAGCGGACCTTCTTATGTCGACTATTGAGGAGTATCTGAAAGAAAAGACAAGTTTTATAATTCGGTCTTTTCAAATTTAAATTCCTTTAAAACTCTCCAGCCGTCCAGTGTTGAAACTTATATTTTCAAAATTTCAAGGGCATCTAGGAAGTTCTGCGAGTTGTGCTGCTTCGACTGTGAGTTAAAATGCTTTTCCAAATTGGGAGATCTTCGCCAAAGAAACCGCGAATTTTCGTTTTTATTTTCGTGTTCATTTTTTAAAATTTCGTTTTTTTATATTTATTCAAGAGACCGAAAAATTACAGAAACATGGGTTTTGTTTACTTACGATGCAAATATGTTGAAGGCTCGCATGACGTATGAGAATTTCCTCGTTGGAACGTCTGAATTTCAATGACTTCTGATATAAGATGCACCCAGCTTTTTGGGAACCTCTTTTATAGGAGAAAGACCGTCTTCTATTCGTAGTTAATATTGCACGCCAGTTCTAGAAGTTTTGTAATTCACAATATTATATTGTTCTAGGCCGCGGAAAGCTCGTTGTGAAAGAATACAACTCAGTTGGCGTTTACGGTGGGAATTTGGACGCCCGACTGGGAGTGAAGGATTACGGAGCGCCGGATCTGGGCATCCCTTGCGTTCCCAGGAAGCAACCTGTGCATCAACAACAGCAAATGCATGGAGATGAAGACGAGGATAATGTGGACGGAGGCGTCGGTGGGTTGCGTGTTGTGGACGGCGATTCGCGGAGATACGACGAAGACGACGATCCGATGGGAGGTTACTCCGTTCCCAAAATGAGGCCAGTTTATTCCACGCACTGGACGAGCCAACTTCCGCCGTCTTACGTGACTTATCAAGGTGAATGTCGTGTACATGTGCTGTACAATATTTTGGAGAGGAAAATTTGTACACAGTTGGACCTTATATAATGCCTCCTTATATCGAATTTTTTCGAGTCCGTGTCTAAGTTCCTCGAAGGGTTTCCCCCTCAAATCTACATCACTCGAATTTTCTGGAGGTCTTTTGGCCATTATTTTATTTGCAAAGGGAAGAGAAAAGAAATACAAATGTAACTTGACGTTTTTTGAAAGGAAGATTGAGGTGAATGGAGTAAATTAACCCAAGCCTCCAAGTTCAGTATCCTGTCAACTCATTTAAGAGGCAATTTAAAGTCTAGAATATTATACCAATTGAAATTTCCTGTAATTCTACCTTGCTTTCACTCAACACAAATGCTTGTTTCACTGAATCGAAACATTTCTGACTCGGAATTTATTCGGCTGGTTCCTTCAAGTTCTAATTACAGAGGTTCAACTGTATTTTTTGAAGGCATTTATCGACATTCGGTCATTCAGTTTGAGTAAGTGATCGAAAAATGATTCGATTTTCTACTGGAATCCAGGCTACACCTACTTCATGTTCCGTGAAAAAGCGAGATCAATTAAAGAAGTGATGCTAAACATTTTCTATCATCTCAGGCCCCGGAGACCCGTACATCGGTCCATCAGCGACGATGGGCGGCAGCATTGGTGTCCCAGTGGCACCCGGGGGACCAGGATGGTACCCATCTCCGACGGACCGATTGTCCACTTCGGACAACGAGTTTGCCGCGGGCAGTGCCCAACAGAGTCCACCTGGCAGGCAAGTGGCGTTCCGTCCGGGAAGCCTGATGCTGAACCTGTCGCATGCAGTGGATGATGATGGCGGTGTCGCCGGTGGTGGCGGCTACAGTCCGAGCCCGGCGTCCCCGCCTGTGCCAGCTGTGCCGCCGCCGATGTCCTCACTGGGCACGACAGCGACGACTGGCACTCTGACGAGGGGTTATAATTTGCGAAATGCTGCCGTCACCGGGGGTGAGTGTCGAGTCAGAAATAAAGCCTTTCGTTGTTCTTTCAAAACCTTCCATCTTGTGCAAGTTTGCTGTTCTTCGTGATTTTAATGTGCGTTGCATTAGTTCGAAGATTCAGTCGTCTCTGAATTCACTGCGCAAAAAAATGACGCGGTTTTGTCTTGGAGTTTTTTGCGTGACGGCGAGTTAATGAACGAAGGATTCCGTTGTGTAATTTTTTTGCGTTGTAGAACGTTGTGATACAAGTAGTAATGTTTTTTTTTCGGAAATAATGTTTGGAAAAAGGTTTCTTTCTAAAAAATACCAGAACTGGATTCAAACGGATATAAGGTAGCAAACTGTTGTTGCGCGAAAGCAAAGCTGAACACGCTGCTGTAAATCTGGGATAGCTGATTATGGTTTGACCCGAAAAATGCAGCGTGAAAATGAGGGTTGAACTTGAAATGCGCTTTATGCGCAATAGCTGTAAAGAAATTGACATTTTGAAGCCTTTTCATTTCAAGTCGACGGAGGATGGAAATACGTTTCAGTATTGTACTGTTCTACGTAATTATAAACACAAGTTCGCCGCAATAGCATGATTGCATGAATATACTGTAGTGTACTTTCCGAAGAAAGAATTCGTCATATTTCTGATTTAAAGAAACTATTTTTTTGCTCCGCGCTGCTCTTGTGACAGCTGGAAGATAATTACCTCAACTCTAGAGAAAAAGCGCAGATTTTTCCGTTCAGTTTACACGGGCAAATGGGGATAATTTTCAATGAAAGTTTACCAGAAATAAGAAAAATACATTTACTGTTATTCTCTGCTCTTTAGAACTGAAATTCATCTGTTTCGAGTGAGCTAAGGCAGAATATACACTTTTATTAATGTATCTATTTTTCTATTCGCTCATATTGTCCGAGTGAAACGTACTCGAGTATATACGGTATCCTATACCGTATACCCTATTCGCTGAACTCTTCACATCGAGAGATTTTTTATAGCTGACGAATGATTTTTGCGAAAAGAGCCGATTTTACTGGATTAATTACAATATTTTTTTCTATCAACCTTTGGTGCGACCTGTGGTTTTTTCAAAGCCTCCCGTGTTGAAAATTGGGAACCATGCGAAGTGCCTCGGAAGTTTATTTATATTGTACTGTACACGCAATTCCGTTGCGTCGTTCATCCGAGAAATCGGGATTAATTGTCCTGTCTCTCATACCACGACCTCCGAAGAAAGTTCCTCACGATGTTTCCTCATGTCTGGTTTCTCCTTGATGAGCTTTCACAATTAACAAGTGTATCTCTGAAGCAGTGTTCTTTTTTTTTAATTTCCACTGCTACATCAATCTAATGCCGCAAGAAAGCCTAAATGTTTTCGACGTTGTGAAAAACCGTTTCAGAATTTACTTATTACCATATTGCCATCAGTTGAGGGACTTTCGGAATTACCTTTGCGTGTATAGAACTATTCTGTGAAATTGGAACGGCGCCTGGAAAAGCGGGCCTTTGAAAGAGTCGTGGCGAATTCATTGGACCCGGTTGCGCTCAAGAGAGACGAGAAGTTACGCGTGTGAGGATTTATTTAATTTCATTTTTTTCTTCGCTTCTTTCCCTGCCCCTAGGGTATCTGAGCGGCGACTCGGTGAATGACCTGAGTGGGGACGACTCTGCTTATCCGAGGATGGCCGGACACCCGAGGGCGCCGTTTGTTCAGGGCTTCCCCCAGAGGCCCGAAGAATCTCAGATTGAGTGAGTGAATGAATATTGTGGTGGTGAGGAGGAGGGTAACGTTGTATTGTACACAGTATTTCAGAGTGGGGTGTTCAGCCGTTTATTTGATTTTATAAAATTTAGGTTTCTTGGATTTCTGTAGTAAAAGCAGTATTTTTCAGGAGAGAAAAAAATTAAGTCAGGCTGAAATGGTTAAAATTAATTGCATTTTATTCTTTTCCTTTGAAAGAAATAGTAATGATTGGGAAATTGCTCCCAGAGGAAGGTTATGGAGGCGGAATTGTGTCAATTTTTGCAGGAATAGTCATGAAGGAAGTTTGTGTCATTGCCTGATGATAATTTTTTTTTTTGCAGGAGCGACGACAATGAGACTCCTGTTTGATCTCTAAAGAATGGAAGGAACTGAACGAGAGGGAAAATGCGTGGCTTCGTAAAAAAGGGAGAAAACTTCCTGTTTCTACTTGAGGCACCTGTCAAAGGTTTGTTTTTATGTGCGTGTCCGAAAGCTTTTGGAAAAATTTTTGCGGAAAGGATCTTCTTGTGGACAACAAAAAATCGACTCAAAAAAGTGAAGAATCTGAACGATGTGTTTCACGTTCAACGATTATGTTCTTTGAAATTCAAGTGGCAATTCAACTCGGATTATTTTTGTTTTGTTCGCTCAAAAAAAAAAAGAAAGATGAATCTTATCAATTTTGTGTTTGATGATGCTGCATCGCACCACCTGTTTCATCTGTGATGCCAATTTTGCGTTTTTTGGTTGTTGTTGTTGGAATTTTGTTTCAACGGATATTGTCCCTTTTTTTGTTGCTGACGTTCAAAAATGTCGCCTGTGTTTTCGAGAGTATTCTATCTTTTCGTGGCGCGGAATCAAGGTGTTTTTTTTTGTTTGTTCAGTTTTCGAAAATGTATGGTTGTAACGGTGTATCCAAAGATATGCATTCCATGGAAGCATGTCAGCCGCCCTCAGGAAGCGTAAAATCGATGTTCGTATTCATGGTACTACATTTGCCCTGTACTGTATTTAAAAACGCGTCTGGTGCCTTTTTCGATGTGCACTTGCTTCTGTGGAGAAGAGGGAAATGTTTGAGCAACTCGTGCCTGTGGCCAATTTTCTAGCTACTTTTTTTGCTTGTGTGACGTGTAGTGAGCCAAAAATCTCGTCTTGTCCTTTTTTTTTGTGTGCCGAGAAAATTTAGCATTTTGCGCGAGACATTCCGAAGGCAGCTTTCTCCGGATTTATATTAAAGGATTTTTATTGTTAATATACTTATTCGATTATGAAATGTGGTGTTTCGGTAATTAAATGAACTTGACACCGCCTGGTTGTTTCCATTCGACTGCTTATTCTGTCATCCATTGAAGGAAACAAAAAATTCCCGCAGCGATCCGCTCAATCGTAAACTGCACAGTACACTCGAGTACCATGTCCAAAACGTCACTGTGCAATGAAAAATGCGCGATGAAACGGAACTGATCGACGTGAGGAATTTATGCAGAAGAAAAATCTTGGCAACTCGGGTGGTCCAAAAGAGAATGCGATTCTTCATCAAGGTCAGCGAAGAGTGGAAATTTAAGTAAATAATTTCTGAAGATGAAAGCCAGAACTGCTAAAAAGAAATCCACAAAAGTACAAGACAAAGTTTCCATATTTTGGAACAAACTTCTATTCTCTTAGCATGTCTGAAGTTGGTCTGAAGGGCCATTAAAATAAAATTGAAAGAGGAGGAATCAAATTTGATATTGAGGATTCTGGCCCCTGTGTATCGGCAGAAACGTCCACGTCTGTTGAGGGGAAGATTTAAAATTCTACGCAATTTTAAAAATAATATTTAAATGCACCCGGCTGTAGGAATCGACCGTAAGAAGGGAACACGAAAAACCGCAAGAAAAGTCAAATAAACCTCAAATTCTATCTAAACTTTACTCGAACCATTTCCCCTGCACAACAACATTTTGAACAGCACGCACAATGTCATCGCATTCCTTACAACCACATTTGTTCAAATTATTCTCGATTCGAACAAAGGCACATTTCGAAACTGGTGCAGCATGTATAAATGAAATAATCTTGAACACAGCCAACAATTGTCGCACCGGAGACAATCCGCGAATTCTCCAAGAAGCAGTTCAAAAAACACGAGGTTTTCTGGAATGAGGATTGTTTTTTTTTTAATCACGGACGGGAATAATTCTTTTAGGATTAGCTGACTCGTTAGTTCCTCGAAATCGGTACATTCAATTTCGTTCGTTTTTCTTTTTAAAGCAGACATACGATTTAAAAAAATAAACGCAGCACCATTCAAAATGTTAAAATTATGGGAACACCGTCGCGTAATTCACTACGGGGTGTGACGAAAACCGGACAATGGCAAAAAAAAAAATCATGCGGTACAAAAAAGCGATTCCAAATTTGCTGAATCTTTCAAAAAAAAAAAACAACCCACGAAGACTTTTCCGATCACAAATGACTCAAAACAAAAACTTTCCTCCGTCAATCGAACGCCGTATATTGGGAATGTACGCAAGTTTTTTTTTTCTTTCAAATATACCATCTCACTTGCACTTCCAGGTAATTTCCGTCAATTATGAACTAAAATCAACGGAGATTTTTCTGAGCAATCGGTAATTTCTGCAAGACTAAAAATAACCGGCTATTCGAATAGGAATATGATCCAAGCACCGGATTTTATAATGAACAAAACCGTCTGGCGCATTTCTCTTGAATTACCCAAACGCTCGTCGACCCATGCTATACCATTCATGACCTCATATATTGGCGAACAAGCAAAAAAAAAAATTTTAAACTTTGTACGCTCTCAGGTCGATACCTCATGATGCTTTTCAAAGCCGCGACGAGATGTCGCCTTATTGCGATTGGACTGCGGGCTTCTCGAACCAGCAGATCGTCTCAATAATCGGGGTCCTATTGGAGTTGCAGGGATTTATATTTCGTCTCCTGAGATGAATTTGACGCCTTTCACTTCATTTCCTGTCGAAGACAAATAACTTCAACTAATACTGTAATTAATTCAACCATCATAATTTACAAAGACGCGGATAAGCCAATGCGTGTATATAAGAGGGTGCTTGAAAATTTTGAGATACTGACTTCTATTGCAGTAAGCATCCAATATTAAATTTGCAAAAAAACTCTTCAGGAAATTCTGAAAACTAGTGTCGTTGCCATAAATTCATAAATTTAACGCAATACCTGATTTTTAAGAGGATCTAGTGTAAATTTTTCAGTCTCCACAAATTCACGAGGGTTGTCCCAGTTTGAACGCGACCTCTGATATTTTAATCATTTAATGTATATACTGTACTGTAGGCATAATAAGGGACTTTTTTCAAAATTGAGGAAAGGATAAACTTAGACAATCGGCTTTTTGATCATAGAACGGATAAACTCATCTGATAATTAAGAGACTGAAATACTGCAATAATAGTTCGAATACACTTCAATACCTTTCTTCAATTACGGAAATCGAGAATTCGGACTTCCCCGTGCAATTATATATAGACAGGATATTAAGTCTGATGTATGAGGGTTGGGCAGTAAGTTTTGAGACTTTTTCAACATAGTTTCAACAATGCCAAAGGCATTTTTTACTCCCATAGCCCCATCATTTGGCAACACTTCAATACAGTTCAATACATACCAACCGCCAATTTCAATGCGTTTTTTCATGTGCTAAATGCCTAAATCCAACAATCAAAACAGCGCCAAAAATCGAGTTATGTTTACTTGAATAGGCCCATGTTGCTGACAATGAAAAATAACTTGGAAAGGGATTGATTTTGAGGACAGGGACAGCCTCATTTCCGCCGTAGAAAAGCAACTTCATCAATTAAATGAAACTCGATTTTTGGCTCGGTTTTGATTTTTAAATTTATTGCATGAAAAAAGATCATTGAAATTGGAATTGGTACAGGATAAATTGAACAGCACTGAAGTGTTGCAAAATGTGGATCTATGCGAAAGCACATTTTTTTGTGGTAATTATTGAAACTCCGTTGGATTTATTTCAAAAAGTCTCTAAACTTATGAACCAACCCTCGTATACATTGACCAGAACTTGAGGGGGTTAAGCAAGGAATAATGATGCAGAACGTCAGCGTGTCGTATGGTAAATTGAAGGACGTAAAATACATTACCTCTGCATTCCTCAAGATAATGCTATGGCCATATTTCTCAACATATAAGCAGCAGAAAAGTACATTCCATAAGCTTATATTGCATCTCTCGCATCAGACATCCGTGGATCGCGTCTGGATCCGCACTTTCTTCACACTCCCATTCCTCGTCAGCGACGGCGACGGCAGCGACTCGGGCGAAAAGTGGGGATTATGAATGCTCAGTCCGGTCACGTCAGACGCCGCCGTCGTCCACGACGACACCGACTCATCACCGGCGCCGCCGCCACTCATCGGGGACATGGTCGTTGTAGTGCCACAACTGCCGTCAGTTGTGTCGAGTCCGTCGGGACCGACGACGACGACGGGCTTCTTCTTCTTGAGACTCGACTTGAGCGGCAACATGGTGAGCGGCGGCGGGACTCGGTAGCCGTTGTTGAGGGACAGGTTCGAGTTGGAGATGATTTGCCCGTCGGGCCCGACTTGATGCGGCAAGGCGCCGGCTTCCGTCGTGGACAGGGAGTGCGAGCGACGGCGTCGGATCCGTCTCGACTTGTTGCTGCTTCTCCGTCCTTTCAAATAGTGACACATATACAGGCCGGGTATAAAAGGAAAAAATTAGTAGATTAAAAAATTAATCTAAAAAACCACGTTTTCAAAAAGCAAAAAATAACCTTAAACGTGGTGCGCATCTATTTCATTTGTATTTCACTTCTTCCCAACAATCTCCATGCGCACCACGTTTAAGGTTATTTTTTGCTTTTTGAAAACGTGGTTTTTTAGATTAATTTTTTAATCTACTAAATTTTTTTGTGCTTTTTAGTCTTACTTGAAAAACGTGGTTTTTTAGATTAATTTTTTAATCTACTATAATTATTTTATTCTTTTTAAAAAATATTCTTATAATTATTCTTTTCACAAAAGATTGCATTGTCATCAGTTTCTAAGCTATCCTGAAAGTTTCAGCTTGCTAGCTAGTCGGGAAGTGAGCAAAATTTGAGTTGCAAAATTTGATCCGGACAAACAAACAGACAAGAAAGTGAGTTCATAAAAACATGGTAAAATGAGGGTGGCTGGAATAGGGTATTTACTCAAGTACCACGCGCCCTTGAGTAAGGTGCGCACAGGGTTTTTTCAGTTGGAAATTTGGCTAAAATCTCATCCTCAAGTATGACTCGCACCCCACTTTTTTTAGTAAATCTAAAACCACGAAATTTCGAAAATAGAAACAAAAACTTTGACTTTAGACATGAATTTAACAAAAATCTGACCAATTTTCAACTGTTTCAATACAAAAAAGTTGTCTTGTCACTTTTTCTCCAATTTTCTTCATTATGATCAAGTATAATGCACATAGAACTTTCTAAAACTTCTTGAACAATTTGTACCTGCTTATGACACGCACCCCTTTTTTTCTTCTGAAATTTGAGAAAAAAGGTGTGCATGGTACTTGAGTAAATACGGTAATCATGTCACCAGACCTAACCTCCCCAAGTGTGAAGCTATTCTTTGTGTGACCCCACAACTGGTGCACACTGGGGTCAAAACTGGTGTACATGGGCTATTCTAGGGTTACAAGCACGCACCTCTGCAGATGAAATTTTGCTACCATTCCAGGGCTATATTTGGTGCAAAAATGTGACATAACAGGAGTATCACACAAATGCACCAACTGTAACCTTGGTGTAACTTATTTGTTACAAATGTGACCCTGAGTAATCCTGGTGTGAACACACAACTGGTGCACATTAGGGATATGCATGTGCAGAAGAAGAACTTCAGTACACTTCAGGTGCACAACAGGGTCACCGTGTGGAAATACATGCATATCCCAAGTGTGCACCATTTTCCCCACTTGGGATTTTCACACTGGAATAATGTCATCAAGATTTAACGTGGTCAGGAATAATATTGCATTAATTTGGGAATTTCATTTTTCTGCAAAACTGGAATAAAATTTCCAAAATATTCTTTTTCCTGGAATTGAAACAACCTTGTCTGGCAAAACTGGACTTTCCTTGAAATGTTTCGGGGAACCACATACGCGCCAATTAAAGTTAAATTAATAAAACTTATAAAAACAAGTAATCAACAATAGGACCATTTCCTCCAAGGAAAACCATTACTCAAGGAAAACTGCACTGCAGAAAACAAGATTAAATTTCTGTCTTTTCCTCATTCACCAAAGAGAAAAGCCACATTTGCAATCAAACTTTTGCTGTGAACAGTGTACAAAATTCCAAAATTTTGAAGAGTTCTGCTGAGTTGTTTGAAAGAGTTGTTAACATTTATTTAATCCTTTATTGTTTGGGACAATTTGGAATACAATCCAAACAGTTTCTAACAAGGAAATCCTAAAAGAATTCCTGGCCTTGTCCCAGGCTGATTCTGAGTTTTATTTGAAGTTTATTTTATTATTCTTCAAACTTTGATTCATCAGTAATTTCTTCAAATGTATGTTGTGGTAAGTTATTCCCCAACATAATATGAATATGGAATAACCTCCTCCTATGCAAACTGACGCTTCCTTGTACAAGCAGGGACTTAGAACAGGGTTAAAAAAAGTTCATGAGTGGAGAACTGCGCCTCCACTCATGTCACAGGGTGCTAAAAATTTGCCAGGAAAGGAAGCAGGGAAGAACTTGATTGAGGAGATTGACAAGATAATTCCATTTTTCTCTTGACAACATGATTCCAGTTCAGGCATTGTTCTGATCTTTCCTTCAAACAATAATTTTTTTGACAACTTCCAGGATTTTTTAGCAGCACCATGTTGGGTCAGTAATGCAGAAGGGAAGATTTTTTGGTACTTTCCTGTTATCTCAGTACCCATTTACCTGCATCTTTAAATGAGCAGTTATTGAAGGAAAATATTCATTTGTTTGTTCAATATATGTTGTTACGTCTGCTGATATTTTGCACACATCGATGCGCTTGGTGATTTTTTTTTTTTTTGCAGTTGAATATTTTCGCTCTATTCTGACGGTAATGCATATACTGTATATATGCCTCAGCCTTCATCAAGAGTGAAATTACAACAAGAGATAATACTGTACTGTACATGAAACTATCACCGAAAAATGTTTGGAAAAAAAAAACGAACCACTGCCGCCGACGGACGAGGATCTTGACCGCCGCCGGTGGTTGTGTCCAGCATGATTAATCCCAGAACCGCCGCCGCCGCCACCGGTGCTGGACAATGACCGCCGCCGCCGCGACGACGACGAACGCGACGACGACACAGATCCGGAAGTTAAAACAGTAGACACGACGGACGAGCCCGACGAAGATGATCGTCGACCGCCGCCGCCACCGCCACCAGCACTGCCGCCGCCGCCGTTTTGGCCTTCTCGGTAACCCGGGTTCACGATGGTGCGGGACTTGGTGCCTTCGACGTCCCTGTTGTACTTGGTCGGGTCTCCGCCCAGCTGCTTGAGAAGGTAGTACTCCAGTCCACACACCACCAGCATCACGACGTTGAGGACCAACACCACGACCTGTGCATTTTTTTTTTTTTGTGTGGCAAAAATAATTGAAAACNGTGCGTTTTTTTTTTTTTGTGTGGCAAAAATAATCGAAAACAATTTAAAAAGGGTAAGAAAAAAAGGGAATCGAGTTTAAAAAAAAAACAACTTCTTTTCAAAGCTTTCCATACTATCGATTGTTTTACTATAGGCGATAGAGACGAAGAATAAAAAGGAAAAAAAATCCATCGAAATACGCAGTTTTCAAACGATGAAATACACGGAAGACGAAAATAAGGGACAGATAACTTTTCGTACCAATAATTTTCGAGGTGTCCATCCTCTCAACGATGATGAGCCAAAAAAGTAAATATATTTTCAAATATATTCTACCCTGAAAATTTAATATTTTGTCGATTTATTATTAAATGGAATAACATCAGAAGAATCACAAAAAGCCTACTCTTAAAATATTGTACAGTACATCATTTTTTCCAAGCAATAAAAACCACGTTGACCCAAAATGGGGAGCACATTTTTAGAAACTATTTTCTTGGATATTCCTGTCCTCGTGCGATATAATTTCAGGCGAAAAAAGCCTTCAAAACGGAAGTTGAATTCTGAAACAATAAAATACGGCAAGCAAAAACAGGGACCCATATACTGAAGCTAATTCATTTTATTGCAGAAAATTTTTTCATTCTACCGATTCAAAAAATCATAAGTTAATCTCAGGCAAATAAGGAAACGGAATAAATTAAAGAACAAAATTCTCTTCGCAAGGATGGAAGAGCTGGGACTAATACATAATTTTTCCCACACCATCAACCATCATTGCAGAACATTAAGAAAGAAACAAATGACACATTAATATTCAATTTAAACTACGTTGAGAATTTCCTTGCGAACAACTTACAAATCACAGGTGCGCGGAACTAGGACAGCCAGCTTGTGGATATATACACCCCTAAACCCATATAGGACATATACCCCATATAAGACATATATATTCAAGACATATAATCCGGGAACTTTCTCTCAAGGATACCGTACAGTATTTCAGTTTCCATTGTTCATATAGACATCATACTAATACTGTACACTCATGGCCATAGAATTCATCAACATATTTTAAAACATAATTTCATGAGCTTCAAACTGGGAGCATCTTTAACTTACGGTAGTTCGAAGTATTAAGGAAGATATTCTTGCTTGAAAATGCGCCTGCATTTTCATCGGTCTACCTTTTACAGTGCGAGGTCAAGCGAATTCAACAAACGGTACCAATCCGTGAGGCATTGAACTGTGGGACAAGGAGAATATTCAGCAGGTGCTGAAATTCGCTCGCAAAAATAATAAACTTTGCAGGTTTATTCCAAAAACACGAATACGGGCTGAATAAAATGGCTCCTTGAGGTTTTATTATCCGTAAAGCTATACGACCATCACAGTATAGTAAAGTACCGTGAAGTACTCTTTTCATTTATTTATCACGGATTATCAGGAGTAAATCCTCTTCGTATATGAATTTTAATGGCTTCAAACCACAGACTTTTTGATGACTTAGGTCAAATTATTTTTTCTTCTTAGAAGTTAAAGCCAAAATTTCACAGTGATGATGAGGCTAAAATCTTCAATGAAATTTAGTTCAACGCATATAAAGGATTAACGGAAATGCATGTTGTACAGTATTAGCTCCATCACATAACCTTTGATTCAAATTGAGTTTCTTGGAATCAAATTTTCTTGAAACTCCTTCAAAAGCAAGAATGAATAGAAGGTCTGAAAAAAACAGAACTAGTGCTTGTTGTGGATTTAAATGAGTATATTAATTTTCTGAAAACTCAAAAAATTCTCAAGTGGTGAGGAAGTTGAGATTCACAATGCGGATCGAACGAGTGATAAAAACAATCAGATTCGACCTAGTGTTCAGCACCTGAACTTTCGATTTGCGATTGTCTCAATGTGGTATAGATGTCACTTCATTATTCACGGCAGATAATTCCTTAGAATTAGATCAACCAGTTTCGGAGTTCACGCCGTTCAATAGAATAATTAAGCCACACATTTGCCAAATGTGATGAATCCTGGGAGGTGGTGTAAGTGAAAAACGCTTTCCACTCGCCATAAATCGCATCGACTGCACTGGAATTTCAATTTCAGGGAATATCATCGAAGCGTTGAAAAAAAAAAGAGAAATACTGTACCTCGAGGTAGAAAGACCAGCCCTTCCTCACAATGAATCCCTGCTCACGTCCATCGCTTGGAAGGCAGAAGAGAAGCACAGAAAATGCAGACAAAACTCCTGCAAAGGAAATGGAGAACAGGATAAAAATAAGAAAAAAATTTAGTAGATTAAAAAATTAATCTAAAAAACCACGTTTTCAAAAAGCAAAAAATAACCTTAAATGTGGTGCGCATCTATTTCATTTGTATTTCACTTCTTCCCAACAATCTCCATGCGCACCACGTTTAAGGTTATTTTTTGCTTTTTGAAAACGTGGTTTTTTAGATTAATTTTTTAATCTACTATAATTATTTTATTCTTTTTAAAAAATATTCTTAAAATTAATTTTTTCACAAAAGATTGCATTGTCATCAGTTTCTAGGCTATCCTGAAAGTTTCAGCTTGATAGCTAGTCGGGAAGTGAGTGAAATTTGAGTTTCAAAATTTGATCCGGACAAACAAACAGACAAGAAAGTGAGTTAATAAAAACGTGTTAATTAATTAGAAAAAAAAATGTTCCAGGGGGTGGGATTGAACTCGGACCTCTGCGACCAATTCAGTTCACCATGGGTTTTTTTCTTGGGGCCAAGGAAAACCTGCTCAAAGTTTTATTATAGAAATCTACTATAATTATTTTATTCTTTTTAAAAAATATTCTTAAAATTAATTTTTTCACAAAAGATTGCATTGTCATCAGTTTCTAAGCTATCCTGAAAGTTTCAGCTTGCTAGCTAGTCAGGAAGTGAGCAAAATTTGAGTTGCAAAATTTGATCTGGACAAACAAACAGACAAGAAAGCGAGTTAATAAAACGTGTTAATTAATAAAAAAAAACGTGTTAATTAATTTGAAAAAAAAATGTTCCAGGGGGTGGGATTGAACTCGGACCTCTGCGACCAATTCAGTTCACCATGGGTTTTTTTCTTGGGGCCAAGGAAAACCTGCTCAAAGTTTTATTATAGAAATCTACTATAATTATTTTATTCTTTTTAAAAAATATTCTTAAAATTAATTTTTTCACAAAAGATTGCATTGTCATCAGTTTCTAAGCTATCCTGAAAGTTTCAGCTTGCTAGCTAGTCAGGAAGTGAGTGAAATTTGAGTTTCAAAATTTGATCCGGACAAACAGACAGACAAGAAAGTGAGTTCATAAAAACGTGGTAAAATCATTTTTCGCGAGACATTGCAAAATACGGGGTTCCAAAGGAAAATTCTGGAAATGAGCCTAATTCGATTCAATAATTCAAAAATATGTCTCAGACGAATTGAAATACTATAAAAGTACATTATTTTACTTCATGAATCGCTTGACCGGCAAACCCTGTAAAAGTCAAATACCGTCATAACGAAGACTGTTACAGCGAATTTTTCATTACAACAAGTTTTTCGAAGTCCCAGCCAAAATTCAAAAGGAACGACGCTAAATAAATGCATGTTTCAACCAGATTAAGAACAAGAAATTCGCGATTTTTCTGCAGCTTTTCCTCTGCTCGAAGGAGTGTACAAATTCATTTTTTGCTGTAGGAAATTTGTTATTGTATTCCTTCCATGAAAAATTCTCTATCTTAATTGCTTTAAAATCCTCTAACTTTGAAATAAAGATCTCTTATTTCAGAGCGTTTTCTCAAAGCAACCCAATATTGTTCATATACCCAGCGCCTCATCATTAAATTTAAATGCTTTGTTATGTTTGTTGCAAAGATTTGATCAAATTTTCAGCTTTTGAATCAACGGATTGGCTATTATTGGGAGGATAATAAAACAAACATTCTCACCTCCAATGAGAGCAAACCATAGTTTGGCAGTGACAGCATGCTTGTAACTGACCAACAACTTTTGCTTGGTGCAAAGCATGACCATGTGAAGGGGAGCAAGAATGCAAATGTCTGCTATCAGAGCCACACTCATGGCTGAGAAAACACCAGCAGCCACAACCAAACCTTGAATTAGACAGCAACAAAAATAAGTTCAATCAATCTTCTCCAGATTCCTCAACAGGATTCATAGGGGAAAATACAGTCGAAATACCTCACGTTGAATTTGAAAAGACTACGAAAAACGTTTGTGATTACTGTATGTATTTTCCAGGTTGGAAAATTCGGTAAGATACTTAATGGGAATCATTTTCTTGCCAAATCATAAGAAAATGTCATTATCAATTAATTTCAAACCGAAAGGAAGAGTCCTAATGTCCTATACGAAGCATGAAGAAAATAATTTGCGCATGGTTTTTTTTTAAATATTCTGAAATATACCCAATGTCACAATAAGAAACTTGAAACTTTTGACTATGTGAGGTTTGAACAAACATTTTTCGAGTTCAAATTTTAATTGCATTAAACTCAAGAAAATCGGAAGGGATCAACTGAAAATTCGAATTATTGAGGTTTTCGACTCGAAGAAAAGTTCGAATTTGCGAGATTCAACTGTAATTTCTGGAAAAATAATTTTAACCAAAATTCCATAACACATTTCGTTTTTCTAAAAAGGAAATTTATTGTTTCCCGGTTATTCCTCAGATCAGAGCTTTCCACAAGTGCTGCTAGAAAAAATGTAAACTTGGGCAACTCATTAGCATACGACATTCTGGTACCTCATAATTTTCCCTCCAATCCTTCTCCGCATGACATCAATCTAAAATCGCCCGAGGGAATTCTCGACCGTAGAAAAAAAAAAAAAAAACACCGAACGATTCCTTAATAGTCCATAAATCATTCCCAGTGCCTCAATCCAAGAATGAAAGAAAAACAAAAGTTACAAGGTCCTTCACCAGCAGCCGAAAATTATGTGAGTCGCAACTCGTTTCGCCTTGGGTGAACAGAAACAAATGTAATACTCGTCGAAAATTATGGTCAAGTTCAACGTCATTTTGGCGAGTACTAATTCGGAAATTTGCGCAGAAATTACCCAGACTAAACACGAGTATCTCAGGAATTCAATCCCCGGAAAAGCCTTGAGAATTTTTCATAAATGCGTAAAGTAATTTCGAAATCCACTCACTTGATGGGTAGAACAGAATTGTATGTTCCCCGCAAACTTCTTGATTGTAGCTCAGAGATGAGCATTTTTTCCACGGTCCGAAATGTCCCGCATAATCTGCAAAAGAAGAGAAAGAAAAAAAAATACGGTCAATTAGTTGTTGATTGATGCACAATTGGCACACTCAAAACGACTTTGGCAGCATTGCTCAAAGGAATATCAAGTTTGTCACATTTTGAAAATGAAAAGCAGTGACATTTTTGGTATGCAACTTGCCGTAGTTCCCGAGTACTGTATTCTACAATAAATTATTTTAAAATCGAGGAACATGAACAAAATTAACTGAACTGCATACTTAAACGACTGACTGTCAGCGATGATCAATAATCTAAGCGAGGACTGTTTTTTAATTATTATACTTTGTTCTTATTTTTCTCTTTTGATGTAAAAAAAAAATAGTCACCAATTCTTCAGAAAATTAGCAATTAAATTCCGATTAACCATGCCCAGAAACATATAAAAAATGCGTTGAAATGAGTACGCGCGAACAAGATTTTCACAAGTTTGTTCCAACGAAGATATTGTTGGAACCCAGAATTCTTCGTAGCAACGAACAATTCGTAATAACGATATTTTTAAAGATTTTACACTACTGTAATAAGAACACGTCAACACTTCTGCCTTCAAACAAACGTTCGCGTACCACCAGTGGTACCACCGGTCGGAAAAAGAGGTTTAAACCTGTGAAGAATTTATGTTTATATTTTCTTTAAACAGAAGTTCGGCGGTTAATAGGAAAAAAATGAGATTTTCCAATTTTTCTGAAAATTAGCCATCAAATTCCAATTGACCATGCACAAAACAGAGTTGAAAAGTGCGTCGAAATGAGTTTGTGAAAACAAGATTTTCACCAGTTTGTTCCAACGAAAATATTGTTGGAACCCAGGATTCTTCGTTGCAACGAAAAATTCATAATAGCGATATTTTTCAACGATTTTACAGTACAATACTAAAAAAACGCTCGCGAAGCACCAGTGGTACCACCGGTCGGAAAGCCAGGTCTTAAACATCCAAGAGTTCATATTTCTATTTTCTTTAAACGAACTTCGGTGGTTAACGGAGATTTCCCATTTTTCTGAAAATCAGCAATTAAATTGCAATTATTGACCATGACTAGAACCAGAGTAAAAAAGAAATGCGTTGAAATGAGTAAGTGCGAACAAGATTTTCACAAGTTTGAACCAACAAAAATATTTTTGGAACCCAGAATTCTTCGTTGCAAAGAAAAATTCGTAATAACGATATTTTTAGAGATTTCACAAAACCCTATACTACAATGAGCACACTTCAACACTTTGCATGCCTTCGGACAAACGCTGGCGTACCAGCAGCGATACCACCGGTCGGAAAGCCAGATTTCAAGTATTACAGAATTTATATATATATATACTGAATATATATAAACTATATGTGGTGTCGGGGGGGGGGGTTACTTGAATATGGCAGACAGACCAACATTGCGAAGTCGTTGCACAAAAAAGAAAAACAAAACAGGTGCGGATTCGCGGTTCGTAAGCACGGCCTCATCTTTTTGCACGCTTGAGCAGCCAAGACAAAAACTGTGATTCACCGGCTGGCAGTTCAAAAAACTTCTGCTTCTTCCCCTCGCCAAAAAAAAGACTCTGCTTTTAAACAAAAAATAGCGTATTTCAAAATCATACCAAAACACAAAGAGAAACCTTTCCTTATTCAGAAACTAGCGGCACAATAAAAAAAACCAAGTCTGGCATATATATATATATAGAGAGAGAGAATGAAATCATCACGCGACTGGGCAAACTGTCGAGAGACGAAATTTTCAAAAAACGAAATGAAAAAAAGGAAAACTCCTTCGCTTGTTTTCCGCAAGTCTCTGTACTATATATACATATTTTTTTGGTTCTTCTCTTCTGCTATTTCTGGATTTAATATTTTTTCGTTGGTGCTTTAGTTGAAGTTTTAATTACTTGTCATCTCTTGAACATGTTTGACTTTCTTCCAGGCGGGTGACGGAGAGGAAAAAAAAACGGTTCTTGAGAAGCAAACAAAATAAAAAATGATATAAAAATACTTGACCAATTTTACAAGCAGCAGGTTCGCGACCAAGTGTTTGCTTTCTCGAGGCGCTGCGACTGACTCTAAAGCTGCTCATCAAACAAAGCCCCCCCTTCGAGGCGTCGAAAAGGAGAAAAGTCTGCTTTCGAGACTTTCTACTGATGATTTCCCTTTTTTATTTTCCTGGCGAAAAGGATTTCCTCACTCAGGGAACAACAAAAGATTTATTTTCGAAACGTATGAGCAAGCTTATTGGCTGCAGAAATGAATTCATGCATATGCATTTAGGAACAAGGCTTTTGAAGTCACTGTTTGCACCAAAAGCTTGTGCGTCAGTGAAATGATAATCTGATGCATGAAGGTTTCCTAGATTCTTATCACCAAAGAAAAAATTAGGTTCAGAAAAGTGGGAGTATCTCAAGGTTTCTAAGCTGGATCAATTTTTAAATGATTAAATAAAAGTTGAAGAACATCGTTAGCTTAAATTCGAGACCTTGCAGATCTTTCAAAGTCCAAAATTCGAGGAGTTGTATACGCTTTGGCATTTTGCGTGCTGTGAGTTGTGCCATATGCAAAGATATTTTTATTTATTTTGGAAGCAAGTTTTCATTTCACAATTCGAGATTTTTAATGCTGATTGTGTGCGTAGTTGTGTCCTTCGATGACTGTGATTTGAGACAATAATAAATCCTCTCTTAACATCCAAGGAATGAGGATGCTCTGGCTTCCTTTTTTTTTGGAGACATTTAATGTTGATTTGCACTTTAAATTAAAATTCCTCGGAGGTTGGGTAACTGCCTCAGCCTTCGAATGTCCCTTGCATCTAGAATGTGTTTATTTTGCAGCTTTAAATCTGTAATATTTATTTATCAAGGCCTTCGTGCAAGGAAATCAGGACAAAAACGATTTATTAAATTCATACAAAAGAGAAGAGGAAGTTGCAATGCGGCTTCAACACGACTGAAGTTGAGAATTTTTTTGTTCTGTCAGTACCTCGAAATTTGGACATGTAAGTTTATGAGTCGAAAAACCTCTGAATTCCTGTGGATTACTTCAATCAAGCATAAAATTGGCACCTGTTCATTTTTCAGGTTTTTGTTTTCACTGCGGTCATAAATCAAGTACGATATAAAACTGAGAGGGGTGGTTCAAACTTCTTTTTTTTTTCATTCGGTACATCAAAATAAAATCATCTGGGTACGCAAGTTTCTGTGGGAGGATTCCAAACCACTTTTATTTTTCAAAAAAGCATAAAATCAGCTTCCGTTCATCTCTCAGGCATTTTTTTTTTCATCTACATAGAACACAAATGCAACGCCAAAGGCCAAACTGAAAAAGGCCATTTAAAATTTCTTTCAGGATGAAGTACCTCAAAATAAAATTCTTTGAGTACTCGATTTTCTGAGTTAGAATCATCAGGGGTGATTAAAAAGACGCGAACAAGTCTCTGTTAATTTTAAAAATATGTCTTCAATTTAATTCACAACCAAAGCACGAAACGAAACTTGAAAAGAGGGTTTTGTAAAACATCAATGACATCAATTTTTTTTAAATTTTGTTAGGTCAATATTGTGAAAATTAATGAGTACGTCAGTTTCTGAAAAGGAAACCTCAAAATAACTGATATGAACTACATTTTACAAAACGTAAACAATCTTTGGTTAATTTTTCAATGACTTTCGTTTACCGAAGTCCAGACAAAAAAGGATGATTCAACACTTTTCCCAATGCATAACCATGCGTATATGACAATTTGAAAAAAAGAGGAAGAAAATAAATCATCATCGTTTGGCTTGAGCTAAAAAAAAAACAAGTTTCAACAGAAAAGAAGGTGTCAATGCTCTGGACAAGAGTGTATTTTTTCCTTTCTCGGGTCATTTTCCTTCTACTTCCGACAGAAAGTCATTCTGCATTTCAATATTTTTTTTTCTTTTTTCGGCAAGTTCAACGCTTTCCCAGGCAATAATTATGCATCCGCGGAGTTTTCCGAAGCATTGAGGCGTGATGCCTCAGGAAACCTATTTTTTCCGAAGCTTTCAGTGGGTTCATTTATTCAAGAAGCCAGAAACGAATCCGCAAAACGTAATCGAATCTGTTATAGTGATGAGAAAAATATGTCGCTTCCGCACTTTAGCAGTTCCAATCTCTTTTACGATTGGTCGAATCTCGCTTCTTCGAATCGTTCGAAAATCATTACTTTTCCAGGAGTAATCAATTTCGAACTAACGGCAGGGTTTCAGTTACTTTTATTGTGAATGATAGACTGCTCATGAAGGCAAAGTTCAAGCGAGATTGACAATGATTGTTGGAAAATTCCTATACATTCCAGGACGATTATAATCTGATTATACTCATTATTAAAAGCGGTGATTTGTGAAACAACTGTTATTCTTCGTAAAATTGTACCTTTTAACAAGATCGAGGGGAAAATATTGAGAGAATACTGTATCTCCAATTCATCGCAAAATCCGGTTCTTGAACCTTGGATAGATGTCGCCTGAATCGGGAATCATGATTTAGGTATACATGACATAATACAACAAAGCCATCAAGAACGTACATGTGCCAAAAACAATTCATGCAAAACGGATCTATAATTGGAATTAAGGCAGGACGAAAATCAAACCCACAGAACAAATGAGACTCAGAAACTTTCGTGACCAAACAACTTGATTTCAATAGCCACCAACGAAAAGAAAACTGTTCAATCATCCGTGTCTGATACGATTTGCTTTTTTTTTTTTGGTAGTAATTGAGAAATCAAGAAAATGCTTGAAAAACTGAAAGACACTTTTTTTCGTGCCTCTCTTGATCATCCGACCGTTTTTTTTTTTTTTGGAATCTAAGTATCTACAGTTCAGATTTTTCCGACTCAGAAACTCGACCACCCGAAGAGTTTGATTTTGAAGAAGTGACTTGAAAAACTTTTTACAAATCTTTCCCACTTCCGTGTTATTCTCGTTACATTATCAGACATCAAGAAATCCGCATTAAAAGGTCCTTTTCTTAGATTAACTGTTTCAATTCTGCTTTGACCTCAATATTTCCTCACATGAGGTATTGATCAAGAGGCTCACTTTAGGTTTCTTAAATAAGGCGTATTACTTTCCCAAAAGAGAAAATCCCAGCAACAAGGAAATGGGAAACCATTGAAACGTCTTTCAGCAGCTTTTCTTCCATTTCGCCTACCGGAAATAAAATACTACACGGAAGAACGAAAACTATCCCTTGTTCAGTTGTTCATCGTCAGTCAGTTATTCGGAGGTTTCTCATCCAGGAACTAAACGATGTACCCGTACAACTCAATTTCAACGATCTGACTGAAAATAGTTGAAAATTGAAATGAGGATCGTTTCATGTCTTGAACTTCACATACATTTTTGTTACCAATGGGATTTTAGCAAAGAAACATAATTCGTTCCAGCAGAATGTTGATTTATATCGAATTTTCGAGAGCTTGATTTAAAAAAAATCTTCAAGGAATGGAAATGATAACTTTTTCGAGTTTTTATCTATGGTGAGTACTGCACGTTTATTCTCTTCGCCTCAAATTGAAGGGTCCAGAAAAAAAATCCTTGTAAAAAGTTAATTTTGTTGCAGAGAACCCATATAAATTGGAGAGAGAATACATCGTTGTAAACAAGATCTTTGAAAAGTGAGAGAGTCCACCAGTATTTTATTCAAACCGAAAAAGGAAGAATATAAAGGTAAAAGGAAATATTTTTCTGTTTGCTCTGTCAATCATTTCAATCAATTATATCAATTTGTTTCTCCCCAAGAGGAATTAACTCGAAACCTGAATCAAAGGGGTTTTCCTTTTGGAAAGGTTTGACTTGGCCAAGTCTTCGACTGTAATCAACTTACTAGCAGCAACTGGGCCAGTTTTATCTGTGGTGAGCACTATTTTATTCAAATAGGAAAAGGAAGTGCATAAAGTGAAAATTTAATATATATTCTAGTTGCTCTGTCAATATTTTGTCTCTGCTCAAAAGGGATCCACTGGGAAATTTGAATAATTAAGTTTTTCCTCTTGGCCTGGTTTGACATGACCAAGTTCTCAAGAGTAATGAATTTACTAGCAGCAACTAGACTTTCTGTTTTTCCAAATCTATGGTGTAAACTGCTTTATTCAAATAGGAAAATAAAATGTCTGAAGTGAAAAGAAAATATTATTCTGTTTAATCAGTAGATATTCTGTCACTCACCAACAGGGATCAACTAGAAGTAATAAAATAAAAAGCACAAATATAAATTCACCAGCAGCAACTGGGCAGTTTTTATCTTTTCTGAACCCTCGTCTTTTATTCAAATTGGAAAAGGGAGTGTATAAAAGGAAACAAATATAAAATATCTTCGCTCTGTCAATCTTTTGTCGCTGCTCCGCAGGGATCAACTGGAAATTTGAATTAAGACAGGTTTTTCAACTGTATGACAAAAAACTTACCAGCAGCAATGGGCGTGTACCGGTACAGGTCCGCCCAGTAGCTGGTGGACACGGCGGTGATGCCCAACACAGTGGACAAGTAGGCGAGGACACACACTGCGACGCTGGCGTAGAACTTGCGGTCCTCCATAACGTCAGCGCGTCGGTTCCAGGCAAACGCATTTTTCCCGCCGGCCGCCGCCACGCGGGCGCCCGCCTGCGCCCACGACGACGCCACAACAACCACCCACTTTGGGTGCCTATATCCGCCGAGTGTCTCGTCAAGCCACTTGCAGAGCTACGATTTTTGGTGCGTCTTCTATCAGACTCTCCTTATTCACAACACTTCAGCCCCCCTTTCCTGACTTTTGCTTCTCTTCTTCACACAGTATGGAGATGATTCACTCACTATATCAATTAGTGTCTCACTCTTTTCCTTCTGGTTACAGAGTCAAACCATACAAAATTAAAGGGTATAGTAAGATAACAAGAGTCTCTAACCACTCTATATAGGCACTCCTGAGGCAAGTCTCACACTAAAGTATTCCTTTTGGGGCAAACAGTCTAACCATCCACCCTAAGGTATAGTAACTGTGATGGAGGTATTTGGCCAAGAGAAGTGTCCCACCAACACAGTCCAAGCAATTTGTCACTCTGGACAACACTGTACCAAATGTCACACTATTCCTTTTGGTCACAGTGTCCAAACATCCCCAGTGAGGTAGTAACAGGGCTGGAGGTAGATGGCCAACTAAAGTGTCCTTTGAATGCACTCCAAACAATTGGACAACACTGCATCAAGTCTCACACTATTCCTTTGGGTCACAGTGTCCCAACCATCTACAGTAAGGTAATGACAATAAAGTTGGACATAGTCGGCAAAGAGAAGTGTTCCACCAATGCACTCCAAACAATGTGTCACTTTGGTACTAACACTGTACCAGAATGCACTCCAAACAATTGGACAACACTGCATCAAGTCTCACACTATTCCTTTGGGTCACAGTGTCCCAACCATCTACAGTAAGATAATGACAAACTTGGACATAGTTGGCCAAGAGAAGTGTCCCACCAATGCACTCCAAACAATGTGTCACTTTGGTACCAACACTGTACCAAGTCTCACACTATTCCGTTTAGTCACTGTATCCAAGCATTCACAGTAAGAGAGTCGACAGTGTTTGGAGGTAGTGGACCAACAGGTGTCTCCAACAGACACACACACACACAAACACACAGGTTTGATGATACCAGCAACTTGTCCCACACTGTACTGAGTCTCTCTCACCCTCTTTGGTTCAAGTAATGAAGACAGTGCGAGTAGTGAGACAAATAAAAGTATCTGAATGACACAAGAGCTTATATTTTTTTAATACAAGGATGAAGGACAGGGAAGTTGTTGCCACCTGTCTCTGTTTTCCACAGTACCCTGTGAATTTCAGGGTCACTCGCGAATGCGCTGTTCACGGTTCACTGTACAACATCATCTGGTCCATGGGCACTTTTTCTGTAGAATTGGATACAAAAACATAAAATGCATCTGTTATTCGCAACAGTTGAAAGAAAAAAAAACACTATTAAAATACGACGGCTGCTCCACAATTATTACAGGCTTTTTTCTCGTATTTTAGTTTTTAGGTGCGCACAAATGGATGCAATTTTCAAAAAATAATAATTCACCCGTTTCTGACAGCCATTCAAATGTTTGCTCACTTTGGTTGCTGAGGGATTCGAAAATACAATCAATCATATGCATTAAATTAGGTCAACCAGCTAACTTTGCATGATTTCTAAACTTTCAGAAAATTGTAGAAACCACAAATTATTTAAATACTGGAAATATTCAAGTGTAAGCGCCGCAGCAAGATTTTTCAAATTTTAAATGGAGAAAGCATTCTGAACTTGAAGAATCCACGCAATACAGGATTTTGAATGCCAAGTTTGATTTAAAACACCGACCAGCGAAAGTAATTTTCCCAAGTCAGGGCTGCAATTGAATCAAATTTAGTTCAATTTGAAAAATACACGCGTGGTGTCATTTATCATAACTAAACTTTACGTGATTGAAGGAAAGATTTTCATGACCACTGACCGGAGCAAGAAAATCAAAGCTGCTATTAAAATGAAGAAAAAATATGACGAACTATATCAAGAGTATTTTCCAGGATCCAGACGAAGACAATTCCGAAAAGATAGAAAAGATAAACAACACAACTGCAACAAAGAGGGAGATGTCAAGATCATCCTGAAGCTCAGCACAAAAGCTTTTCGTTTTCTCTCATTTCACATTCAAGTCACACAAAAGAAAGGTAGCCGAAGATGAGTATCGTATTTCACCATCAAAATTATTCAGGTCTATCCCAGCATGTAAGGACAAGAAAAAATCATGGATTCTCAAGGCGTTTGGATATATTTTCGACATCCAATATCTTTTTATAAATAAAATATTACGACCCAGATATTAAGAAATCGATTGGCATTCATTTTTAAGCACAGAAAAAAATAGGTAACGTAATTTAAAGCAATCTTAGATCAAGTTTAAGTGGGAGACAATATTCAAGAAAGAATAATCTTCAACAATAAAATAAAGTATGCTGACAACTTATTGCCAACAGCAAATTTATTTTCAGATCTTCTCCCCAATAACCATAAGGTAATTTTAATTTCTTTATAAAAAAAAAGTTGTTGGAACAATTTAAAGCTTTCTTCCCAGTTCTAATGACTCTGTTGCCACACATTTTTACAGTGCTGTGAAATTGTCAAGTTTAAAATGCATCAGTAGAAAATTAAGGCAATCCTGGGATTTCTACATTCTAATCCATCTTGGGACAAAGATATGCAAAAAGTCAATTTAAAAATTTGCTTAAATGTAGTAGTACAGGTGGTACCTTGTAATTTTACCCTAATCCATTGCCAAACTAGGGTTAAATTTCAAATTGGTTGAATTGCAAGACACTCTGTAAAATTCAAAAATGTAAGTTCAAAAATGCAAAAAAAAATGGCCAAAGCAGGTCAAATTCTGGGGCAAGGGTTGAATTGCAAGTCAACCTCCCTGCAAATTTGACCATCAAATTGCGGGATGGCTGAATTCAGGGGGGCCAAATTGCAAGATACAACCTGTAATTTTTTTGCATAGGACTTGCCATTTTTGTGTGATATTTTTTTTTTTTTGCTGCAGCTATATGTTTTTCTTCATGGGACTTTGCTCTTGTCCAGGTCTTTTGTTAAGAGTGGGAACCCACTGTCCCTTACACATTCATAAGCTAAAAAAAGGGACTTCTCATTTTCCACCCTCACTTCACTCAACTTCAAAACCACAGGTCAAACCACTTGAAATCCACAGGAAGAGAAGAGTTTTCCCACTGGTCACCCCCCCGTTCTCGACTCACAAATGAGCTCACCTTTCCTCACTCCACCTGTTGAACGTGGGAAAGAAAAAATCAACAAACCAAAAGGGAACTAGCCAAAGAAAGAACAAGGAAATATTCATTCGTTTTCACTCAAGGAAAAAAAAGAGGAGAAACTCGGATTCCCTTTCCTCATGCTGAGCAACCAACACCCGTCCACTCTTGCGCAACACATTTGCCCTTTTACTCCCGCTTCTTCCGTTTTCAAAAGAAGTAAAAAAAAAAAAATTAAGCGATGCACCTGTTCTTTCCCGCTGAATGCGAAAATGAGGCAATTGAGCCACGCCAGGAAATAATGACATCTTTCCTCTTTTCCCGCAATTATTTTTTTTATATTTTTTTCTGGTCATCAAGTACGCGGACAGGACGAAAGCAAGTGCAAAAACAACATCAAAAAAAGATGTGCAAAGAGGGGAAATTGCCCCGGCAATTTCGTCAGCTGTAAGCGTGCCCTACTTCCACCTGCGATGTTTTTAAAATCCGCATTAGATGATGGGGGTCATTATGTGAATTATAAAGCATAACATGGTGTTGAATAACGCGGATTCCACAGAAGCTTCGTGCCGACTTGCATCAGAAAATTGCCCACTGGATTAAAAACACGCAGACGCGTTCATTGGAAAGTCCTGGTGTTTTTAGGGATTTAAAAGACGCCACGTATTCTTGATGAATTAACACATCCGAAAATGAGTCGAGAAAGATTAAAGCGTTGCCATAATACTCAGATTTTCTCAATTTAAATTATGTCACAATAAATTGTATAAAAATGGTGGAGAGACGTGAAAAAAAATCAGATCATAGAAGATAATCTGCGTAACATTTTATAAAAATGGCAGAGAGACGTGAAAAAATCTGATCATGGAAGTTAATGTGTATAGCAGATCTTTACCGCATACTGAATATAGAAAACCTTGCACTGAACATACTGAAAATCCTATGAATTAAATTTTTATTCAAGTTTCACCTCCAATATCTGGAACGTCATTCAACTAACTCAGTCACTGCATAATTCTTCAATTATCAGCGATTTATCGCCCCCTTTCACTCCGAAAAAAATCAAAATTCACACCATTCAATACAAATATTAATAATTTCGAGCTTTTCCCTCGACAGCTGCCAATACACAGCAATTTAATTTTCACATCTGAATTTTTTTCCGTTGAAGAGAAAATTTTACGTTTACACCAGACGATTCTGGGGCACGAGGTTGAAGAGCAATGATCCAAAATCTCGCAAAAAATAATACAAGATCAGAACAAGGAAGTTTCATTGTTGCTGACCACGCGACGGAAAAATCGCATGAAGCACCAAAATGGTTTCTTTTACCACCGAGGCACAGAATAAACTACAGTATTACCAAATAAATGAGAACTAACAATAAAAAAAAGAGGAATCGAGTCCAAACCGAACACAAAATACGAGGGATGACTCGACTTTTGTGTCACGAAAGTTTCTGAGTCAGAATCCTCGAGACATTAAATCTTTTATAACACCTTTCGTATACATTTGAAAGGACTCATCCGAAACAATTCAATCAAATTATAGCCATTAACTTTTGAAAACTTCTTCCTAGCGAATTGACTTTCCATCGCGATTTTTATATTTTCTTAACTCAAGTAACGCAAACATGTCCAAGATCAGCACGCTTAGAATTATTTAAAATGTTTGGCAGAGTGCGAACCATCCAAAAATTGAAAAAGATTCACTGTGGCGAAGATATTTCATTTTTTTGCATTACGAAAGGTTCCTTCCTCAGCCCTTTATGCATGATTTACTTTTAAAATTTGCGAGCAAAAATATGAGTGAGGACGGGCTGACGATAGCCTATTACTCAATAAAACTCAAATATAACGCTAAAATCACACGCTAGATAAAATATAAACGAGGAATTCATAAGTCTGATAAAAACTCATGAACCAACTCTCGCGCAGTTTCCATTTATTCCATTCCTTTTGGATTTTTAAAATTTTCATCATAAAAACAAAATGCTTGATACCAGATTATCCAAAATATTTGATACTCCGGTACATGAAAACGACATTCTCCCACATAAATACGGTTTTCAGCATTTTCAACTTAATTTTTTTGCAATAGTTCGGGGTAATTTTTCAAATTTTTTTTCATAATTTTCTCGAAGAAAGGGCGAATCTTACGCTTGTTTGTCGAGGATAAAAATTTCCTTTTTAAGCTGCAGTCAATTCAAAACCTTACGTAATGACGACTCCGCTCTTTAAAAGAAGGATTTTCAGTTATGGAGTGGTTTCAAAAATAGGCATCAATGAAAATCATGTACAAAAAAAAATGAGAGACCATCACGATGGGCCAACCTTTTATGGTGGCGCAAATCGGTGTTCAGAAACGTAGCACTGAACAACCAAGCGAGAATCCGAAAACAAAAACGTACGCCTGAACTAAGATCCTAATAACGATAAAGAAGGAGTGTCGCAATAGATTCCTGAACAAAAAAATTAATAAATTAAATTTATTCAGAACCGCGGATTGTGTCATTCGACACACACGCGTGCCTTCATATCGTCGTTTGCTGTTGCGCGGAATTCCGCTGCCACAG